ATCTAGCTCCCTGCTAATGTCCCTGGGAAAGCAGCAGAGGATGACCCAAGTACTTGGACCCCTGCACCCACATGGGAGACCTGGCAGAAGCTCCTGGCTCCTGGCTTCTGATTGGCCCAGCTCTGGCCATTGCAGCCATTTGGGGAGTGAACCAGCAGATGGAAGACCTTTCTCTCTGTGTCTCTCTCTCTCACTGTAACTCTACCTGTCAAATAAATGAAAATCTTTTTTTTTTTTAAAGGCCAAATTGTTTCACAAAGTAGGTGTAAAAAAGAAAAACCAACAACTAGGTGTACACATTTATGTTCCCACTAGTAGTGTTTAAAAATTCTAGTTGCAGGCCGGCGCCGTGGCTCACTTGGCTAATCCTCTGCCTGCAGTGCTGGCACCCTGGGTTCTAGTCCCAGACGGAGTGCTGGATTCTGTCCCAGTTGCTCCTCTTCCAGTCCAGCTTTCTGCTGTGGCCCGGGAAGGCAGTAGAGAATGGCCCAAGTGCTTGGGCCCTACACCCACATGGGAAACCAGGAGGAAGCACCTGGCTCCTGGCTTCAGATCAGCATAGCTCCGGCCATAGCGGCCACTTTGGGGGTGAAACAACAGAAGGAAGACCTTTCTCTCTCTCTCACTGTCTAACTCTGCCTGTCAAAAAAAAAAAAAAATTTCTAGTTGCAGGGTCAGCACTGTGGCACAGTGGGTAAAGCTGCTGCCTGTGAATCCACTTCCAATCCAACTCCCTGCTAATGTGCCTGGGAAAGCAGCAGAGGATGGCCTAAATACTTGGGCCTCTGCACCCATGTGGAAGGCCTGGATGCAGCTCCTGGCTCCTGGCTTCGGACCCATCCAACTCCAGCCATTGAGGCCATTTGGGGAGTGAACCAGCAGGTGGAAGATCTCCCCTCGCCCCTGTCTCTGTAACTCTGCCTTTCCAATAAATAAATAAATCTTTAAAGAAAAAAAGTTCTAGTTGCTCTGTACTCTGATCATCACTTGATAAGATCAACATTTCTAAGTTTAGAGCTTTGTATTTAGTGCTCTCTCCTTGTGGTTTTAAGTCATATTTATTTCTCTACTAACTAAAAATGTTGAGCATCTTTTTATATATTTCTTTTTCTTTTTTTTTTTTTTTTTGACAGGCAGAGTGGACAGTGAGAGAGAGAGACAGAGAGAAGGTCTTCCTTTGCTATTGGTTCACCCTCCAATGGCCGCACTGGGCTGATCCAAAGGCAGGAGCCAGGTGCTTCTCCTGGTCTTCCACGCGGGTGCAGGGCCCAAGCACTTGGGCCATCCTCCACTGCACTCCCTGGCCACAGCAAAGAGCTGGCCTGGAAGAGGGGCAACCAGGACAGAATCTGACACCCCAACTGGGACTAGAACCCAGTGTACTGGCGCGGCAAGGTGGAGGATTAGCCTATTGAGCCGCAGCACCGGCCTATATATTTATTTTCTATTCACATGTCAACAGGCAGAGTTAGACAGTGAGAGAGAGAGACAGAGAGAAAGGTCTTCCCTCCGCTGGTTCACCCTCCAAATGGCTGTTAGAGCCAGCGCGCTGCACAGATTCGAAGCCAGGAGCCAAGTGCCTCCTCCTGGTCTCTCATGCGGGTGCAGGGGCCCAAGCACTTGGGCCATCCTCCACTGCCCTCCCGGGCCACAGCAGAGAGCTGGACTGGAAGAGGAGCAGCCGGGACTAGAACCTGGCGCCCATATGGGATGCTGGCGCTGCAGGCGGAGGATTAACCAAGTGAGCCACAGCACCAGCCTGTTGGGCATTGCCTAAAACCTCCAGTACAATATGGCGCCTGGTGGATGATTTCATAAATACCAAATTGTAGAAAATGCAAACAATGTCTGATGACAAAAAGCAGAAAGTTAGGTGTAGGAAGCCAATACGATGAAGCGGCATGAGGACACTTCTGGGGGTGATGGAAACGTTTGTCATCTTCATTGTGGGAGTGATTTCCAGTGTACGTGTTTGCTCTTGAATTGCGGCTGCTGCGGTTAACTACGTAAGATCAGAACACCGGCAGGGATAAGTCCGCTTTAGTTCCGGGCATGTGGTCATTGCATGATCCCTATACTTTGCTTAAGATGCCCCTGTGCGTGGTCCACCCACGCCTGCATGACCTTTTCACTGATTGGCTCCCCTACTGCGCATGTCTTTTGTGAGCCTTATAAGCCTGCACACTTCCTCAGTAAAGTAGTTCCTGCTTCGACAGAACTCACGGGTCCTTGCTGTGGTGTGTTTGACCCGTCGACCTTACCTCTCTTGTTCGCCTTGTCGGGGAGTGCTTGTACTGTCCCCTGCTGGTCAGGGGCCAGCCTCAGGCTTAAGACCCCAACACCGGCCCCTACTTTTTCTCATTTTTAACCAAATTGTTTCATTATTGCTTTGACAGTTCTTTATATACTATGGATAAAACTCCAATTCACAGTTATTTTCTCCCAATGTATGGATGTATTTTTGTTCTCTTAAAGGAGTATTTCAAAGAGCAAAAGTTTAACAGTTTTGTCTAATGGATCATACTTTTGTGTTGTATCCAAAACTCTGGCTAGCACAATTTGCAAAGGATGATTTATTTTTTTTTCTAAAAGTTGTACTTGTTTAAGCTTTACATTCAGACCTATAGTCCTTTCCATATTTATAAGATGCAAGTGCAGGGGCCCAAGCACTTGCGCCATCTTCCACTGCTTTCCCAGGCCATAACAGAGAGCTGGATTGGAAGAGAAGCAGCCGGGACTAGAAATGGGGCCATATGGGATGCCGGTACTGCAGGTGGAGGATTAACCTACTGCACCAAGGAATCTGCTCTGGGTTCTTTTTTTTTTTTTTTTAACTTTTGTTTAATAAATATAAATTTCCAAAGTACAGTTTATGAATTACAATGGCTTTACCCCCATAAGTTCTTTTTTTTTTATTTTTTGACAGGCAGAGTGGACAGTGAGATAGAGAGACAGAGAGAGAGAAAGGTCTTCCTTTTGCCGTTGGTTCATCCTCCAATGGCCGCCGCTGCAGCCGGCGCACTGCGCTGATCCGATGGCAGGAGCCAGGAGCCAGGTGCTTTTCCTGGTCTCCCATGGGGTGCAGGGCCCAAGCACCTGGGCCATCCTCCACTGCACTCCCTGGCCATAGCAGAGAGCTGGCCTGGAAGAGGGGCAACCGGGACAGAATCCGGCGCCCTGACCGGGACTAGAACCCGGTGTGCCGGCGCCGCAAGGTGGAGGATTAGCCTATTGAGCCACGGCGCCGGCCAGTTCTTTTTTTTATTTAATAAATGTGAATTTACATAGTGCAACTTTTGTATTGTTGTGGCTCCCCCCCCAACCTCCCTCCCTCCCGTGGCCCTCCCCTCTCCCACTTCCTCTCCCATCCCGCCCTTCATTGAGTTTCATTTTCAATCACCTTCATATACAGAAGATCAACTTAGTATACACTAAGCAAGGATTTCAACAGGCTGCACTCACACAACCGCACAAGGTATTGGGCATTGTTCAACTAGTAGTGTTGTTTTTAAGTTTCATAGTAAAACACATTAAGGACAGAGATTCTACATGGGTGGGTCCTTTCTTAAACACACAGAGCGCTCAAAGACTGGCATTCCACTACTGGGTATTAACCAGAGAAATTAAAACATGTGTTCACACACAGGCTTTCACATGATAGCAGCTTTTTGTGAAACAGTCCCAAGCCAGAAACAATCAAAATGTCCATGACAAAGTGTGTCATATTCAGGCAATGGAATAGTATCCAGCAACAAAAAGCAACCAAGCATTGATGCATAGGAGCAAATGGATGAATCTCAAAATAATTATGCTGTTAGAAAGGAGCCAAACATACATGTATGATTTCATAAATACCAAATTGTAGAAAATGCAAACAAGGTCTGATGACAAAAAGCAGAAAGTTAGGTGTAGGAAGCCAATACGATGAAGCGGCATGAAGACACTTCTGGGGGTGATGGAAACGTTTGTCCTCTTCGTTGTGGGAGTGATTTCCAGTGTACGTGTTTGCTCTTGAATTGTAACTTTTGTATCTTCAGTTTTTTTTTGTGTGTGTGGTACTTATACCACAAAGGCTTAGAGATTAACTGGAGATAATTTTTAAGTGTTGGGAAGGTTTGCCACAAAATGTACTATTTCCATCTAGCTGGACAGCTAAGCTACACTTTTCTCCTTCATGTCACGAAAAAGAGATGCAGTGCTAGAGAGACTTGGTTTCTAAATCTGGGTTCAGAAATGTAGTTAATACTACTCATCTGGAAAACACATTTTCCAAAATCATTTTGTCCTTTCCATCTTGTAAAAAGAGTACTAATGTGCGAAATAAGCCAGCGCCCAAAAGTCAAACACCATGCTTTTCCTATCTGTAGGAAATAACAGAGTACCTAAAATGTAATGTATTGGAGTGAAATGGATATTTTGAGATTCAATGATTGTTTACAGCCCTTGTCTCTTCCGTTGAGGGAGAGTTTTTTTCTTCTTCTTTTTCTGCTATTTGCTGAACTCTTAGTGTAGGGCTAACCTTAGATCATGAAGTAAACTGCAAGTAGATCTGTAAAAATTAAGAATACGACAGAGCGTGGCCGGATGGGAGGACGGAGTGGGAGATCTGTATATATGAAATACACGAAACTTGTATAACAAATTAAATTAAAAACAAAGGAGTACTAACATTTCTTCTAACTAGGTAGGGGCTTCTAATATTTAAATCCGCCGGACTAGATTACGGAAAGACCACGAAATCCCACGTCACCATCCGACGTTACTGACGCCTGCTGGAAGGAGCAGGCCATTGGCTGGCAGGGACGGAAGCCCGGCCGGGCTCGCGTACCCCTGGTGCGTGGCGTCAGCGCCCCGCAGTCGGTGCGGGTCGGCAGCGGCGGGTGGGAGACCCTGCTTGGCCCTGGGCGCTCCAGTCCAGAGCCCTGCGTAGCCACGTGACTGAGCCGCGGCTCCCGGCAACCCCGGATGATGGCGCAATACTGTGCGCGCAGGCGCAGTGCGGGGCCGCACGCGCGGTAAGCCCTTGCACGTGTGCGGCGGCGGCAGGCCGAGGGCTTGGCCGAGGTGGTGGGCGGAGGGCCGATATCCGGCATGTGGGGCCAGAGTCCCTTTTCTAGAGCGGCGGTGGCGGAGAGTGTGAGGTCAGTAGTAGTCCGTGCGGTGGGTACGATGGTGACCCCTGCGCGGGATGTGTTCTCGCCGCTGGTTGCGCTGTGAGGCCCCAGACTTGAGGCCAGGCCCATTTCCTGGCCTCCTGCCCGCCGCCGCCGCGGGGACGCGGACACCGGGCGTCCGAGAGCGGTGCCCAGAGGCCACTCCAGCGTGCAGGGAACGCGGGCCTCAGCGCCTCGCGGTGAGGAGGAGCTGTTTACTCCCCTTCCGGCAAGCGCGGCGGCGTGGGGACCTCGGCGCCCCTCGCACGATCGAGGCGCGCCCAGGACCCGCGTTCCCGCCTCGCAGAGGTGACGGGTAGTAGCGGGGTCGGGGAGGCGCCTCCGCGTCACCGCCCGCGTAGTCGGCCTTGGAAACCCAAACTTACTGCTGTTCTAGGAACAGCTTCCCAGATTTCCAAAGTAGGGGTGTGTGTGTATACTATATACATGTATTCTATGTAGAAAGCCTTCCAGCCACGTTTGGTACACTGAATTTAAAAACCACATTTTGATTAATTGTAAAGAATCCTCGTTTTGAAGACTTTGGCTGCCTCTTGGCGTGTTTTGGAAGCAAAGTAGGGGCTGGAGCTGTGGCGTAGTGGGTAGAGCCGCCTCCTGCAACACCAGCGTCCCGTGCGGGCCTAGGTTTGACGCCCAGCCGCTCCAGGGCCTATCCCGCTCCCTGCTAACGCACCTGGAAAGGTAGTAGAAGATGGCCCACTGCTTGGGCCCCTGCGCCCAGGTGGGAGACCCGGCAGAAGCTCCTGGTTTTGGGCTCACTCAGCCCCGCCCCAGCTGTTGCAGCCATTTGGGGAGTGAACCAGCAGATGGAAAATCTGCCTGTCTGTAACTATGCCTTGCAAATAAATAAATACATCTTAAGAAAAATTAACCCAAAAAAGTAACGAAACTCAGAGGGTTTAAGTTTTAAAATGTTATAAAAGTTTTGATAGGATTTGAGACCTGTATGGTTGTGTTCTTAGGTAACTTGTAAAACTGTGAAAGTCTACATTTTCCTCATTTATGAATGGAAAGTACAATTTCTAGTGTGCTAAGGATAAAATTATAAAGTAGACTTTTTGGGAAATATTTTGAGTTAAGCCTATTATATCAAAATTATTTTTGTTTTGGGAAAATTTTATTTGTCTTGCAGTCTTTAATTGCAGGTTACTTCAAAAGTAGTAATTACTGTGTCTTTTAAATACCAGTCTGAAGCATTTGTCGTAGCACATTGTTTCTCTATTTTATATTATGTGAATTCTAATCTTCTTTTGTGGGGGGTCATTTTTTAGACAGAAATGTGAAGATGTGCATGCAATATTTACTTCGAGGTAAATTTATAAGGGTTTGTTTGGCTAGAGAGGTAATTTGAGGATTGAGATTATATAATGAGCTATGCATTCTGTTTTTTTTTTAAACTTATTTATTTGAAAGGCAGAGTTACAGAGAGACCTTTGAAAGGCAGAGTTACAGAGTGAGAGACCTTCCATCCACTGGTTCACTTCCCAAGTAGCTGCAGTGGCAGGGCTGGGCCAGGCCAAAGCCAGGGGTCCAGAACTTCTTCCGGGTCTCTCATGTTGGTGCAGGGGCCATCTGCTGCTGCTTTCCCAGGCACATTAGTAGGGAGCTGGATTGGCAGTGGAGCAGCGGCGACACGAACTGGTGCAGACATGGGTTGCTAGCATTGTAGGCAGAGGCTTAGCCTACTTTGCCACAACACTGGCCCTGAGATTATGTTATGGAATTGTAAACTCTAATACACGGAAAACAAAAAAACCTAATTATTGAAGAAAATATCTTTGAAATCATTTGTAATGTAGAGTTTGATTTTAATAACTTCATTTACGACAAAACATAGTTGTGAAGATTTGAACATTATGTGGCTTAGTCTTTATTCATTGTTAATGGATGATTATAACCTGTTACTGAATTATTTTAGTTTTCCAGGAATTGTCCAAATGGATGAAGACACACATTACAATAAAGGTACTGACACTAAAAATTATTTTGGGGTGTAAGAGCTAGATGATATTGATTAATTTCTAATGTTCTTTTCATTCTGATTTGGTTTTAGTTGAAGATGTGGTTGGAAGTCATGTGGAAGATGCGGTAACATTTTGGGCCCAGGTAAACAGCAGACTGATTTTTTCTCCTCTTTCCCCCTTGCCTGACCTAGTTCCACCCCAACAAATAAAAAAATTATTCACTGCTTAATTTTTATTGGTTTATTTAGCACAGGGCATTATTAGAAGGCAAATAGTTACAGATGGAAATTTATGTGTTACAAGTAGTATACTTACATAAAGTGGAAACAATATCAGCAAGATTGTGGAAACAGGATTATACTCAGTATCAACATTCTAGGCTACTTGAGTTTTATAATTCTGAGCTGTTGTATTGTGAAGTGATAGCCCCATCTAGGGGTCTTTTCTAAAATTGTTGAATATTATTAGTGGTGAATTAAGCCTGTGAATGTAGAGTGTATTAAAATTATGTCTATGCAGAAACTGACAAAGAGCTGGGAGGAAGGAAGGAGGATGGGGGAGAGCAGGAGAGTGAGGGAGTTGTGGTTGTTGTCTTGGAACTGTACCTACAGAATGCATAAAATCTGTTCTCTTTGTATTAATAAAGAAATTTACATAAAGATAAGTTTTACAGTCTCAGTCATATTTTGTAACGATTTAAGTTTGAATTTGAGATACAATATTTTTCTCATCATAAAGTTAGGTATTTTCTCTTGGCAGGCGAAAGTCAGATAAGTTTACTCAGTCTTAAATACAAAGCAAGGAGGCTGGCACTGTGGTGCAACAGGTTAAAGCCCTGGCCTGCAGTGCCAGCATCCCATATGGGTGCTGGTTCTAGTCCCAGCTGCTCCTCTTCTGATCTAGCTCTGTGCTGTGGCCTGAGAAAGCAGTGAGGATGGCCCAAGTCCTTGGGCCCCTGCACCCATGTGGGAGACCCAGAAGAAGCTCTGGCTCCTGGCTTTGGATCGGTGCAGCTCTGGCTGTTGCAGCCATCTGGGGAGTGAACCAGGGGATGGAAGACCTCTCTCTCTCTCTGCCTCTTTGCCTCTCTGCCTCTCTGTAACTTTGTCTTTCAAATAAATAAAATAAATCTTTAAAAAAAAATACAAAGCAAAGCACCAGAGTGCTTGTGTTGATAATTTGCCTTCTAATGCACATGATTACCCACTAGTTTTTGGTTTTGTGAACTATATGTGACATGGGGAAGAAGGAAATTGTATTTTCCTGTACTTTTTTAAAAAAGATTTATTTGAGGCCGGCGCCACGGCTCACTAGGCTAATCTTCCGCCTTGCAGCGCCGGCACACTGGGTTCTAGTCCCAGTCGGGGTGCCGGATTTTGTCCCGGTTGCCCCTCTTCCAGGCCAGCTCTCTGCTGTGGCCCGGGAGTGCAGTGGAGGTTGGCCCAAGTGCTTGGGCCCTGCACCCCATGGGAGACCAGGAGAAGTACCTGGCTCCTGCCATCGGATGAGCGCGGTGTGCCGGCTGCAGTGCGCCGGCTGCGGCGGCCATTGGAAGGTGAACCAACGGCAAAGGAAGACCTTTCTCTCTGTCTCTCTCTTTCTCCCTGTCCACTCTGCCTGTAAAAAAAAAAAAAAATTATTTGAAAGGCAGAATTACTGGAAGAGAAGGACAAAGATCTTCCATCTGCTGATTCATTCCCAGAATGGCCTCATCTGCGGGCTGGGCCAGGATGAAGCCAGGAGCAGGAGTTTCATCTAGGTCTTCCATGTGGGTACAGGGTCTAAGGACTTGGGTCATCTGCTGCTGCTTTCCCAGGTGCATTTGCAGGATTGGAAGTGGAGTGGCCAGGACGTGAACTGGTGTCCATATGTGATGCCGGCACTGCACGCAGCAGTTTGACTTGCTGTGTCACAGAACTGTCCTCTTCTCTATAATTTTTGAAAATTAATTAATTTATTTGAAAGGCAAAGTTTCAGAGAGAGTGAGAGGGAAAGACAGATCTTCCATCCATTGGCTCATTTCTCAGGTGGCCATAATGGCTAGAGCTGGGAGGATCTGAATCCAGGAGCTTCTTTTGGGTCTCCCTTCTGGGTGTAGGGGTCCAAGGACTTGGGCCAGCTTCTGTTGCTTTCCCAGGTGCATCAACAGGGAGCTGGATCGGATGTGGAGCAGCTGGGACTCAGGTGCCTATATGGGATGCTAGTGCTGCTGCAGCAGCCTTATCTTTGCTACACTATAGTGCCATCTCCTACAAATCTTTTTTATTTTTTTTAACAGGCAGAGTGGGCAGTGAGAGAGAGAGAAAGGTCTTCCTTTTCCGTTGGTTCACCCCCACAATGGCTGCCAAGGCCGGCACGCTGCAGCCAGCGCACCATGCTGATCCGAACCCAGGAGCCAGGTGCTTCTCCTGGTCTCCCATGCGGGTGCAGGGCCCAAGTACTTGGGCGATCCTCCACTGCACTCCCGGGCCACAGCAGAGAGCTGGACAAGAGGAGGAGTGACTGGGACAGAATCCGGCGCCGCAGGTGGAGGATTAGCCTAGGGAGCTGCGGCGCCGGCCCCTCCTACAATTCTTAAGCATGGAAACTCCTTTTTGTTACAGTAGAGGTGAATTGGTAATGTGGGAAATAGGAGTTTATGAGAAAAAATTATAGAAGACTATGATTGACCAGGGATCATTAAATTTATATAGAAAATACATTGAAGGATATTATTCATAGGAAACTGGTGACAAATTTATGTGTTTGCTTATGGAGCATTCTCTAAAGGGTATGGCACATGTTCTCGTTCTGTGCCCCTGGTCTGTGTACTGATAGCACCTGTGTTGCTCAGCAGTGCCCAAGATTGGATGATAAATTATATGTTTAAGTTCATTATTTAATAAGATCATTTGTTAGCTTAAATAAGGTTTTTTAGACCAGTGCTGCCAAGTAGAAAGTTGAGTCAGAAAAGTAATCAATAAAAATGTTTAGGCTGCCATCGCTGTGGTGCAGCAGGTTAACGCCCTGGCCTGAAGCACCAGCATCCCGTATGGGTGCTGGTTCTAGTTCTGGCTGCTCCTCTTCTGATCCAGCTCTCTGCTTTGGCCTGGGAAAGCAGTACAAGATGGTCCAAGTCCTTGGGCCCCTGCACCCACGTGGGAGACCCGGAAGAAGCTCCTGGCTCCTGGCTTCAGATAGGCGCAGCTCTGCCTGTTGTGGGGAGTGAACCACCCAGTAGAAGACCTCTCTCTGCCTCTCCTCTCTGTGTAACTCTTTCAAATAAATAAATAAATCTTTAAAAAGATGTTTGGCAGCTCCATTGAAAAAATAAAAAGGAACACTGAAATTAACTTTAATATTTTTACTTAGTATATCCACTATTGTTTCAAAATATATTTGACAAGCTTTTGAAATCTAGTGTGTATTTTAGACTTAAAGCACATCTGAAATCAGCCTAGTCCATGTCCAGTGAGTATTGACTGTTGTGTTGGTTAGTGTTAGTCTAGATTGATTTTGATTGATCTTATTTATGAACCTGCTAATTGAATTTGGAGCTCTGATTTAAAACAGGAGTCAACAAGCCTTTTCTGCAAAGAATCAGATAGTGAATACCTTATGCTTTGTGGGCCAGTCTCTCGCAGCTGTGGTAGTGCAGAAACAGTAAATGAGTGGATGTAGCTGTGACTCAAGCAACTTCATCAAAATGGGTGTCTGTAAATTGCCAGTTTCTGATTTAGCCATAAAGTTGAAGCCTGTGGGGAAATTTATACACATTTCCACAAGTTAGGAAACATACCTTGAATAGATGAAATGATAAAAAAATACTAATGACATCCAAATGAATGTAAAAATTATTTCAAGAAGTAAATTACAAAATGTGATTAGAGTGGGAGTGTGATGTTGGCAAGGAGAAGAGTTCACTACAGATTTAGAAAATAATGTGGCAGGTCCAGATCAGGATCTGCTCACATGTATTCTCTGTTTTCCTATTATAATTTTCAGTTGAATAAACCATTTACGAGAGAACACTCCAGAATTACTGGCATGCCTACTTGGATGAGTGGCAACGGAAGGCATCTTAAATATTTGACCTCTACATGTTTTTTGGGAAAGGAAGAGCTTCTGTTTATTTTAGTCCATATGTGACAAAATATAATTATGTGGAATATTTTGATGTATTCTGAATGTAGAGAACTAATTCCAAGAGTTTCATTCACAAAGGCTGCTTCTGATGTTTCTTGGGATCTGTTTAAATTCAGTTTTTTTTTTTTTTTGAAGATTTACTTATTTATTTAAAAGGCAGAGTTACAGAGAGGGAGAGACAGAGGCAGAGAGAGAAGTTTTCCATCTGATTCACTGCCCAAATGGCCACAACAGCCAGAGCTGTGCCAATGCAAAGCCAGGAGCTGCTTCTGGGTCTGCCACATGGGTGCAGGGGCCCAAGTACTTGGCCCATCTTCTGTTGCTTTCCCAGGCGCATTAGCAGGGAGTTAGTTGGGAAGTAGAGCAGCCAGGACTTGAACCAGTGCTAGTGTTGGTGGCTTTACCTGCTATGCCACAGCTCTGGGCCCTCCATTCAGTTTCTGTTTTTGTATGGTGTCATTGATAGTTGTAATGATGTCCTTGGAACCACTATTTTTTTTAAAAACAAAGATTCATTTATTCAAAAGACAGAGAGGTAGAGACAGAGGTCTTCCATCCGTTAGTTCACTCCCCAATTGGCCTCAGTGGCCAGAGCTTCTCTGATATGAAGCCAGGAGCTAGGAGCTTCCTCTGGGTCTTCCCATGAGGGTGCAGACCCAAGCACTTGGGCCATCTTGTACTGCTTTCCCAGGCCATAGTAGAGAGCTGGATTGGAAGTGGAGCAGCCGCGACTCGAACCAGTGCCTATATGGGATGCCTGCACTGCAGGCGGTGGCTCTACCCCTATGCCACTGTGCTGGACCCTGGGCATTTCTTTACTTACAGCACTGCCAGATGTCCAGAATCCTTTCATTTCCATGTCCTAGCCCAGAAATCAACCAGTCTGCAGAGACCATCTCATTATGATTAAATATTTGGTACCTTGTTTGAATTCCAAATAATTTGAACTCTTCGGCAAGTAAACTTTTTCTATAAGCTAATCTCATTTCTTATAAATAACTCAGTGAATTCTGAAAAAATGTGAATATAACAATTGTCTTCCTTTTTAATACTCCAAAATCTTTTTAGTAGCATTCTCATTTGTATAGCACTGTCAAATAATATTTTGTTGAATCCTGTGCTGTATCTGTTCTTCCTAGAGTATTGATCGAAATAAGGATATTGTGAAGATTGGTTTTTCACTGTCTGAAGCTTGTCCACATGCTAATTCAGTTTTTGGGAATCTTGACCCAAAGAAGGTGAGCCATATTTTTGGATGTAATTCTGCCTTTCCTCCTGTAGGCTTTCCTGTGTCTGACATTTTACAGCTTTTGGAATTTTTGGTACATTTGAAAGGAAGGGACAGATTTTTAGAATTTGTATAAATTACAGTCATTACATTTATTCACTCAGAAATACTATGGACTGCATATTTTTCAATCTTGAAAATAATTTTGACAGACTACAATATGGATGAATCTTGAGGATAGTATGCTAAATAAAATAAGCTGGTTACTAAAAGACAAATACTGCATGATTCCACTTAGATTAGGTAATTAGAGAGTGGTCAGAATAATAGAAAATAGAATGGTTAGGATGTAGCTGTATTCCTGAATATAAGTTAACCTAGCCCTCCCTCAACTGGATTGCAGTAATGTGCCATTTCTTTTTTCTTCTTTTGAAGGAAGATTTACTTATTTGAAAGGCAGAGTGACAGAAAGAGAGGGAGAAACAGAGATCTGCATGCATTGGTTCATTCCCCAAATACCTATTATTAGAGTTGGGTCAGACCAAAGCTGGGATCCAGGAACTCCAATCAGTGTGGCAGAGGCCCAAGTACTTGAGTTATCATTATCTGCCTTCTGAGGTACATTAGCAGGGAACTGGACCAGAAGCAGAGAAGATGGGGCTAGGACCATTTGATATGGCATGCTGGCATCTCTAGTTGTGGCTTAATCTGTTGTTGTAATACAACTCCCACCCTAATGTGCCATTTCTGTTAACTGCCTTTTGCCAAATCATGATTGGCACATTATTGAAAAAGTTTAATTAAAGATAATGTGACCTTTTATATTTGAAACTGTTGGACTGTTGACCAAATGCCATTTTTGCTACTAAACCTGTTTGCTTATTTAAAAATGATGTAACTGCGCTGGTGTTGTGGTGTAGGCAATTAAGCCACCACCTGGATCACCATCAACCCATAGGGTGCCGGATTGTGTCCTGGTGGTTCCATTTCTGATCCAGTTCCCTGCTAATGACCTGGGAAAAGGAACCAAAGATAGCCTGAGTGTGTGGGCCCCTGCTACCCATGTGGGAGACCCAAATGAACTCTTGGCTCTTAGCTATTGCAGCCATATGGGGAATGAAGCAGTGGATGGAAGATCCTTCTCTGTCTTTCCCTCTGTAACTTTCAAATAAATAAATAAATAAATCTTTGAAAAAAATGAAGATGGTTAGAGAGGGTCCTGTGCCACTTGTGCTTTTTTCCTTCCCGTTGTTGAATGTTAGCCGAGGAAACAGGCTTACGTGCTAATTGGACACTCATATCTTTTGTAGCATTTGATTTGTTAGATACCCATTTGTGTGTCTGAATTAGCTGCTACTTTGGGCCTTTTCCCTCCAAGATACTTCAACAGCATAGATATTCTGTAAATGTATTTATGTTGTTAGTGGGGCTGGACTCTACAAACCACAAGACATCTAAGATTTCCCTTCCCCACCATCCCTCAAGAACCACTCTCCATCATCTTGGGAACAATAATGTTCCAGTGTGATTCAAAGTAGTTACCAGCCTGGAGTGAGTTTTTATCCTCTCTCACACAGGAGACATTGGCAATGTTTTGAGACCTTTTTGGTTGTCACAAATGGATTTGGTGCTGCTGGCATCCAGTGGGTGGGGGCCAGGGAAGATGCTGGGAGGTATCCTGCCATACACAACACAGAGGACAGGCAGCCCCCTCTGCTCGGTAGTCATCCAGTCCCAGCTGTCAGCACTGCTGAGGCTGAGAAAATGTTGAAAGGGTTAACATTTTCTCCTCACTTTTATTAAACATCATTAAACTAAAATATGAATTTTAAATAAATGAAAGTTTATTATTAAGGACATTGTCTAATTTTATCTACTTAATAACACCAATATCTTTATAGAGAAGGTAAAATAGAAGCTTTGTTCTTGGTTGGTAGGTAACAGGGATTCTGCCATGGTTGAGAATTAGACTTAAGTGGCCTGTATGGGGATGTTTATGTTTGAGAACAATTGAATGAGTTGTCTTACAGCATTAAAATTGTATGGTTTTCACTCTTGCATGCATGTTCATCTTTTAAAAAAATATTCTGATTTTTAAAAATCCTCCCCTGCCCCCTTTTTGGAGATGCAGAATAGCATAATGCACTCTGAGGTCAGAAGTCTGAATCTTAGTTCTCCTGCTTGGACTTCGGGTACGTAGTGGTGAGAGGTACTTGCCTCAGAGGTTGTTGTGAGAATGAAACCAATTATTGTATACAAAGTGCTCTTGACTCATAGTGCTTAGCACATGTTAACTTTTATTCTTAGTTACTTTGCCTGCTTTGTTTCATTGAGATACCAGATTAACTTTGCTTTCTTTTTCTCTTTGTAGATTTATGGTGGATTATTTTCAGAAGATAAGTGTTGGTACAGATGCAAAGTACTGAAAGTCATCAGTGATGAAAAGGCAAGAAATAAGTGTTCCTTTTTTTTTTTTTTTACTTTAAGTAATATTTATTCTAGTTGACTAGAACGACTTCCAGAATTTGATGCTTATTTAGCCCTTCATTACTTTTTCATATTAGTAATAAGATCTGGTTCAGTGAATTTATAATTTTATTTTTTAAAAAGATTTTATTTATTTATTTGCAAGGTAGAGTTACAGAGAGAGAGACGGAGAAACTGAGAGAAAGATTTTTCATCTATTGGTTCACTCCCGAAATGGCCAAAACTGCCAGATCTGAGGTGATCTGAAGCCAGGAGCCAGGACATGCTTTGATTTTTCCCTCATATACAGTGGCCAAAGCACTTGGGCCATCTTCTGCTTTTCCAGGCCATAGCAAAGGAGTAGCTGGGACACAAACTGGCGCCCATACCGGATGCCAGTGCCACAGATGGATTATTGCCATAATACCAGCCCCAAATTTATAATTCTATTTAAACATACTTTTTCCCAAGTGAACACCAGAAAGTTAATAGCTTGAAAACAGTTAAGATTCAGGAATATTCTTCTGAATTTTGTTAGATAATCACCCCAGATTATCTAATAATAAGTTATAGAACGTTTGGATTTTTTTAAATGACTATTTGTTGCTTCAGTTCTTAATAATTATGTTTGACTCTTGCTAATGAATAACTTTTTGATGAGTAGGAAAGGATATTTGATTAATACTGAAGTTGCGAATAGCTTTTACTTACTTGTGAGTGTTAAAGATTGACTTGCCGCTTTCCCACGTCTGTGTTAACTGTGATGAGTTTCTTTGTGTTACGCTATTTTATTTTTTACGTGGAGAATTTGCGAGAGATTTTCCAGGGAGATGGGATACTGAGTAGCTGTGGCATTTGTATCTTATAGGCTGTATAGAAGGGTTGCCCTAGTCTTTCTTTCAGTGCAATTTTTACATCTACTTTCTGCACTTGAAGTATATTTTCTGATCTGTATGTTTTGTAAGTATTTTTGGTGGAATAAGATGAAACAATTTGATAGATGCTCTTATTAGTTTGCTTAAAAGTACCCATTATTTATTCTTGTCATAGATAATAGTTTGTGTTAGTGAAGTGAACCTTTCTTATTGTTAGACCTTTGCTCATAATTTGATAGCAGGAGATCATATTTTGCAATAGCTTTTGGATCAGCTTTAACTTTTTAAATTAAAGAGCAAAAATCAACTTTGTTAGAAATTATCTTTTTTTTTTTTTTACTTTTTAAATGGATGCAGAGCTGGAGGTAAAGGTCAGTTTTTGAGTTAGTTTCAGAGGGTAGATCTAGCTAGGGTAGATTTAATTTTATCACAGGAAATTTGATAACTTTGTCTTTTCAGATTTTGTTTCTAATATGAACTTAAGAATGTTGATTGATTTTAACATTAGGAGAAATAGAGGAGGGCCATAAGTTTATAAATTCCTGTTTATTTAAGATATCAGTTGTTGGGGGGGGAGTGAAGATGAGAAGTGTTACTGTTGGAATTTAGTGCCAAATATATAAACCACTGTGATTTTATGGGTTTTCTGTATTGTGAGAATATTACTAGATCTCTATTTCTGAATTCATTTTCTCAATTTGAGATAAAATACAGTCTTGACAGATAATCAACAGAAAGCAGCAAATCAGTTTGGCTCTTGGTGGAGATATTTAATCTGGGTTCAGTATTACTATTTGTCTCCTGTTTTTTTGCAGTGTCTGGTGAGGTACATTGACTACGGAAACACTGAAATACTGAATAGATCTGATATAGTTGAGATTCCTTCAGAACTGCAGTTTTCTAGTGTTGCCAAAAAGTATAGACTTTGGGGACTACAGATTCCTTCTGGCCAAGAAGTTACCCAGTTTGATCAGGCAAGTCATAGAGTTTAAGTATTTTTGTTAGTATAAGTACAACTGCTTGAAACAAAATAAAAATGTTGTTAAATCTTACTAACTTTGCTTAATATAAAAGCCTGTATAAATGAGTGAAAAATACAAATTATAAAACAATGCAAAAGTGGCTCTATGTTTGTGTTCATTTTTGCTAGGTAAATTTTCTTGTATAAGAGTGATACATGGCCGGTGCCGTGGCTCACTAGGCTAATCCTCCGCCTTGCGGCACCGGCACACCGGGTTCTAGTCCTGGTTGGGGCGCCGGATTCTGTCCCGCTTGCCCCTCTTCCAGGCCAGCTCTCTGCTGTGGCCAGGGAGTGCAGTGGAGGATGGCCCAAGCGCTTGGGCCCTGCACCCCATGGGAGACCAGGAAAAGCACCTGGCTCCTGGCTTCGGATCAGCGCGGTGCAGCGCACCGGCTGCGGCGGCCATTGTAGGGTGAACCAACCGCAAAAGGAAGACCTTTCTCTCTGTCTCTCTCTCTCTCACTGTCCACTCTGCCTGTCCAAAAAAAAAAAAAAAAAAAAAAGGAGTGATACATAATAAATGTAGTTTCTTCTAAATTCAGAGTTCAGAGATATCAGCTCTTATTTATGGATAGCACTATACACAAACACTGCATTGGGATGCTTAGTTCAATGAAAAGGTCATTGATTAGAGTTGAATTAATGTGCAAACTGGGTGGCATATATGATGAATATAGTTAACCTGTTTTGGCTAAGATCAAGTATGGAGAAAGTATATAAAAGTGATCTTTAGCTTAGCCCTGGCCATAAATATCACAAAATGGAAATTTGTGAGGCTGTAGTTAATCATAGTTTATCATTTTGGCACAGGTTCACACTGTTTGATGTAATCATTGGCAGTAATAGTCTGCTAATCTAGATTCTAGTTTGCATTCTTTCCATTGAGTTTAGGGTTAGTAAATCTGATAATGTCAGGGGTAGTTTTAGACGAGTCCTGTCTCCTTTTAAATCTTGTATGCAGAAGGTTCTTGTGGTGAGTGGTAGTGCTGGTGAGGGACATTTCATTGCAAATAATCAGACTTGTAAATGTTATTTAGCAGCTCAACTAACTTAGGTGAAAAATGGTTTAATCAGTGTTATGAGGAGTGATTAAAATTTGGGAACTTTGTATTTTCCTCTTTTTTGTTTATTTTGAGAAATTTACAGATATGTTGACTGTTATTTTGTCTGCACTATAGTTATTTACAAGAGACATTTCTGTATGTAGAATCAGACTTTCACACATGAACAAGAATGTAGATACTGTTGTAAACTTATGCCATAAGTTTTGGCTTGAAGTCTAAAGTTTATTATCAATATTATTATTATTTTTAAAGATTTATTTACTTGCAAGTCAGAGTTACACAGAGAGGAGAGGCAGAGAGAGAGAAAGAGAGAGAGAGGTCTTCCATCCGTTGGTTCACTCCCCAATTGGCCGCAATGGCTGGAGCTGCGCCAATCCGAAGCCAGGAGCCAGGAGCTTCTTCTGGGTCTCCCACGTGGGTGCAGGGGCCCAAGGACTTGGGCCATCTTCTACTGCTTTCCCAGACCACAGAAGAGAGCTGGATTGGAAGTGGAGCAGCCGGGGCTCGAACTGGCACCTATACGGGATGCTGGCGCTTCAGGCCAGGGTGTTAATCTTCTGCGCCACAGCACTGGCCCCTAAAGTATATTATTTCCTTCTTTGATAAAAAGGTATTGGCCTAGATAGTGGCTTAATTTGGATTTCCTGGATGCCTAGAACTATACAGTTTTAAATTGATCTGCTCCTATGTTATTTACAGATGAGAAATTTTTCTGGTCTAGAAGTATTAAATAGTATATTTCAAGTCATATAGCTAAAGGGCAGAGATAGGGCTAAAACTCAAGTCCATTGCTATTTTCATAAAGAGATGATGCACATATTAATGTTTATGGAAACAAACACAAATTAAAGGCATGTTTAGAAGTTAAGTTTTACTCTGTTTTGGCCTGGGAAAGCAGTGGAAAATGGCCCAGCTCCAGCAATTGTGGCCATTTGGGGAGTTAACCAGTGGAAGGAAGACCTTTCTATCTGTCTTTCCCCCTCGCTGTCTAAAACTCTACCTTTCAAATAAATAAACATAAAATTAAAAAGAAAAATTAAAAAAGTTAAGTTTTGTAACTGAGCTAGTAAACATCAGTTAAGAATGTTTTCAAATACTTCATGGCTTCTTTCCAGGTGGCACTGTATACAAACATTGTATTTAGATGCTTAAAAAGATCTTTGATTAGAGTTGAGCCAATTGGCAAACTGAATGTTTTCTAGAAAAAGAAAAAAGTTATTCTTGAATATCTCTGGTTAAAAAGGCATGTTTAGTCATTAATTCTCAGTCTAAGGCTCAGATGTGGTCTCTGTGACGGCTGTCCCCTTGCAGCAGTTTCAGCCACTCACTGTAAAGGGCATGGTGAGTTGTTAACTTTTCCTTTCCCCACAAGACAGGGAGTTCAGTGGAGTTCAGTATTTTATCTGTTTTTTTTTTTTTTTCTATACCCAGTCTCCCTGCTTATTAGGAGTTAGATGAGCATCCATCGTATCTAGCATTGGAGTACAGTCAGAATTCAGTCAAAGCAAACCTTCAGCACACTTTCTAGCTTTGACAGTCATGTTACAGCGCAGCTGAAACTGATATTCAGGATGATCAGTTTAAATTACTGGAGATCAAATGAAGGTTAAAGTGTTCCTAAATTCCATTCTTTAAAAATTATTTGTAGAATCAGAGAATGAGAGAGGTTAGAATTTAGACTTAACAGTTTAGTGGCCTTTTAGTCTATTTTCTACATTTTAAATAAAGCTTACCAGTTTGGGAACAGGATGAAATGTATCTTGGAGGGGTGACAGTAATTTTTTAATGAACATTGAAAGCTTTCATGTTCTAAATCAATGAGCAGATTTATTTAAAAGGTAAATTTTATGTTTTAAATTTTATTTTGTAACTTCTAAATTTCTAAGTTATGTTTAAAAGTACATGTATATGTATCTCCAGCTCACAGTATTTAATGGAAAATATATTTCTTATGATAAAAGTTAAAATTTTGACATTTATAAAAGAATACATGGCATATATGTTAAGGTAAATTGTAGTATTAAAATAGCCATGTGTCATCTGTCTTTTCATCAATTTTGTTAGAAATGAGGAGAACTAAGTTTTTATAGAAAGCTTTTATTTAATAAATAAAAATTTCATTAGTACAACTTTTGGATTATAGCAGTTCTTCCCCCCATACCCACCCTCCCACCTCCAAACCATCCTACCTCCTACTCCCTCTCTCATCCCATTCTTCATTAAAATTCATTTTAATTATCTTTATATACAGAAGATCAACTCTATACTAAGTAAAGATTACAACAGAACTCATTTTTTTTTATTTTTTTAACTTTTATTTAATAAATATAAATTTCCAAAGTACAGTTTATGAATTACAATGGCTTTTTCCCCTCCATAAGTTTTTTTTTTTTAAATAAATGTGAATTTACAAAGTGCAACTTTTGTATTGTTTTGGCTCCCCCCCCAACCTCCCTCCCTCCCGCGGCCCTCCCCTCTCCCACTCCCTCTCCCATCCTGCCCTTCATCGAGTTTCATTTTCAATCACCTTCATATACAGAAGATCAACTTAAGAACTCATTTTTTAAAAAAGATTTATTTATTTATTTGAAAGATAGAGTTACACAGAGGCAGAAAGACAGAGAGAGGTCTTCCGTCTGCTGGTTTGCTTCCCAGATGGCTGCAATGGCCAGAGCTGGGCTGATCTAAAGCCAGGTGCCAGGAGCTTCTTCCAGCCTCCCATGTAGGTGCAGAGGCCCAAAGACTTGAGCTATCTTCTACTGCTTTCCCAGGCCATAGCAGAGAGCTGGATCAGAAGTAGAGCAGCCAGGACTTGAACCGGTGCCCATGTGGCATACTGGCACTGCAGGTGGCGGCTTTACCTGCTATGCCACAGCGCTGGCCCTGAGAACTCATTTTGAGTTTTCTGTTCTGTATTTGTGGTTGTATTATATTATTTGGGGGAGAATCTGGTTGAAAACTTTGTGCTAATTGTTTTTAGTTACCATAACCAAAAGAAATTTGACTTCAAAGAGAAACCTAAAGCTTAGACTTCTTCATTTAAAATTCCTTTAAATAAATAGAGAGTAGTGAGCCAACTCAAGCTGTTTCATACTCTGGTTCACTTCCCAAATGCCCTTGTCAGTCAGGAGTAGGCTAGGCCAAAGCCATAACATGCGAACTCATTTGAGTTTCTCATGTTTGGTGGAAGGGACACAAATTCTTAAGCCATCATTTACTGTCCCTTTGGGTACTCATTAACAGGAAACAAATTGGGAGTGGAATAGGGAATTGAACCCAAGCCCTCCAATATGGGATGTGGATGCCTGAGTGGCATTTCAACCACTTTGCCAAACTCCGACGCTCATTTCTGTAAAGAATAGTGAAACTTTATAACATTTAACTTGAGATAATTGGAATTTTTGTAGAAAGCAGATTTTTTCCTATTTATTGCTTGAAAACAGTTTCTTGAAATACCAATTCCATAAGGCAAGTAGTTGTGCTTGAATTTTATCTTAGATAGACCTTCAACAATAATGGTTGAAATCAAGGGTTTTATGTGGAAGAAGTTAAGCAGAAAAGTACATCTGCCTGTTGTCTTCATGTGACAAGTGCAGTGGGTCACAGTCTGAGTTTGTTGACTTTGTCTGCTTGATCCAATTTGGTTGGTGATAAGTTCTGGAACACATTTACTGTTGGTGTTCTGGTGAATTCAAGCTCTTGATATAATGTGTATTTCTAAGTTTTATTTTCAAAATTTATGAAGGTCATGTTTTGTGAACCTGAAATACATTGTTATTTTGGCTAGTAGTTTAAAAAAATGATTTTTTTTCTGATTTCTTTGTTTTTAGTAGTGATGTCCAGTGATCTTTGAGGATATATGAGGGAGTTTTATAAGGTCCATGGAAATTGTAGTTAAAAGATAATGCTTGGGGGTGGGGACATTTGTCTTAGTGGTTAAGAGAGTAGATAAGGCAGCTGTCTCGCACATCAGAGTACTTGGGTTACACACTTAGCTCTGGCTCCTGACTCCAGCTTCCTGTTACTGCTGACCCTGGGAAACAGCAGTAATTGCTCAAGTAACTGGGTTCCTGCTACCTATGTGGGCAGCTTGGATTGTGTTCCCAACTCCGAACTTTGACCTGCCTGATCTTGGCCATTGTGAACATTTGGGAAGTGAGCTAGTTGGTGGGAGCTTTCTCTTTCTGTCTCCCTGCCTCTCAAATAAATGAATTGATAATAAAAACAAGATAATGAGAGTTTTCTCTGAACTTTTTAGAGCCCCCATAGAATTTGAATCTCCTCCTCTACCCCATCGGATGTTTCGTTCTAGGCCAGTGGTTCTTTTTTTTTTTTTTTTTAATTCTTTTAAGATTTTTAAAAAAATTTACTTGAAAGGTAAAGTTACAGGGAGAGGAGAAGAGGCAGAGAGAGAGAGAGAGATCAATTGATCAATTGATCGATTGATCTTCCATCCACTGGTCTGCTCCCACAATGGCTGCAATGGCCAGGGCTAGGCCAGGCTGAAACCAGGAGCCTGGAGCTTCTGTGCAGGGCCCAAGCACTTGGACTGCCTGCTGCTTTCCCAGGCCGTTAGCAGGGAACTGGATTTGAAGTGGAGCAGCTGGGACTCGAACCAGCGCTGACATGGGATGCTGGCCTCGCAGGCAGAGGCTTAACCCACTCATGACTCCACAATGCTATAGGCCCAGTGGTTCTTAACCTACTGTTAGATTGTATCATAATAAAACAATTTTCTTTGCAATTCTGTGAATCTTATGCATTTAAAAACATTAATTTGAGACGGCATCCAATGATTTCATCAGGTTGGTGAAAGGGCCATAGCGCAAAAATGTTAAGAACTATGCAGCTGGCCGGCGCCGCGGCTCACTAGGCTAATCCTCCGCCTTGCGGCACCGGCACACCAGGTTCTAGTCCCGGTCGGGGTGCCGGATTCTGTCCCGGTTGCCCCTCTTCCAGGCCAGCTCTCTGCTGTGGCTTGGGAGTGCAGTGGAGGATGGCCCAAGTACTTGGGCCCTGCATCCCATGGGAGACCAGGATAAGCACCTGGCTCCTGCTTTCGGATCAGCGCAGTGCACTGGCCGCAGCGCGCCGGCCGCGGAGGCCATTGGAAGGTGAACCAACGGCAAAGGAAGACCTTTCTCTCTCTCTCTCTCTCTCTTTCCTGTCCACTCTGCCTGTCCAAAAATAAACAAACAAACAAACAAACAAAAGCTATGCAGCTGTCACTTCTACCCTCTGTACTGCCATATAATAATGACTGTATAGAAATAGTATCATTTGATTTCTCGGACCTTGAAAGTTTTTCAAACTTTTTCTTTTTTTTTTAAATGTGGCCATCTTATAGTTTCTAGTTTTTAGTTGGGTCCTTACACTCTTGTTTTTCTGATTATTAGTGGTATGATTTGCTTTATTTGCAAAAATTTTTTTCACATTTATCAACTGGTTATACAGCTAAAAATAGAGTTACTTTTTCTGAGAGATATGATCCATGGGTTTAATCAAGGAAATGTGGATCAATAAATCCGAACAGTACCTATCCATTTTGTGTTTTAAGTTTATGTTTTATATATCCCGAAAAAGTAGTTTCCTTTCTATTACAGAGTGAAAATCAGGACAGGAACTTTGAGAGATTTAGGAAGTAAAGAGTAATTAGAGTGTATCAAGGTAATTTTAGGAATTACAGCTTATGGAGGAATAGACGTGTTCTTACTCTAATTGAGTTTCAGGGTATCTTCAGATATCTTCTATTTTTTTTAGGTACTCAATATTCAAAAGTTAGCCAGCACCTCGTTTAGTAAGTACATTTGCATGTAGCCAACAAGAAGGTAAGATCAGTGATGCAAGGATTTTAGAATGAAGAGATAGGATGCTTGGAAAAAATGGATAGAAACAAAATAAACAAAGAGAAGCATGTTGCTGTCCCTGGCTTATGTCTTCTTTCCTATCTTTCTTAGGGAAGAACCTTTTTGGGGAGCTTGATTTTTGAAAAGGAAATTAAAATGAGGATCAAAGCAACCTCTCAGGATGGAACGGTCATTGCTCAGGCTGAGTATGGCAGCGTGGATATAGGGGAAGAGGTGGCTAAGAAGGGATTTGCAGAAAAATGCAAACTCACCTCCAGCACTAACATCTGTGAAGAGAAAAAGTCGGATCCTGCTCAGCTTGCACTAAGGAACCTCAAAAGCCCCATTCCGTTATGGGGGCATAGATCAAACCAGTCAAACTTCAGCAGGCCAAAGCCACGCTTAAGTGGGAGGCTGTCAGTTGACTTGAAGAATGAAAGTGATGCGGGAAACCACGTGACATTTCCAAAGTAAGACTGTGGTTTTCAGTTTTAGGTAATGTTAATTCATAGTTGGGATCTTTTTAAAGGTAGAACAGAAGTTAAGGCATGTGCTTTGTCAGTGATTTTGAGAGAAGGTTCAGATTATTTTTTTTCAAACATATAGACCTCTTCTTTAGCAGGAATATTTTTGTTAAAAATCATTTTAAAAGAAAAAACATCATTCCTGAATTGTTTGAGGTTCACATAGTATTTTATGCTCTTTTGAATACATTTATAAAAAAAATCTAGCCCTTAATCTGATTTATTCTGGCAATATCAGAACTTCAAATAAGATCTGGACATTTTCTTGTGTTTTTTAGATATTTTAACTAATTTCAGGGAATTGTCTTTTAACAAAAGGGAGGGTTTTTGCTTTTCTTATAAAAACTTGATAGAATTTTATGATTTCAAGGGTGGCCCACTTCTTGGATAATTACAAAACTTATTTACTTATTATTTATTTTTTTTTAATTTTTTTTATTTTTTGACAGGCAGAGTGGACAGTGAGAGAGAGAGACAGAGAGAAAGGTCTTCCTTTGCCGTTGGTTCACCCTCCAACGGCCGCCGCGGCCGGCGCGCTGCGGCCGGCGCACCGTGCTGATCCGATGGCAAGAGCCAGGAGCCAGGTGCTTTTCCTGGTCTCCCATGGGGTGCAGAGCCCAAGCACCTGGGCCATCCTCCACTGCACTCCCTGGCCATAGCAGAGAGCTGGCCTGGAAGAGGGGCAACCGGGACAGAATCCGGCGCCCCGACCGGGACTAGAACCTGGTGTGCCGGCGCCGCTAGGCGGAGGATTAGCCTAGTGAGCCGCGGCGCCGGCCTACTTATTATTTATTTTAAAGACAGAGATCTCCTGTCCACTAGTTCATTCCTCAAATGCTTGTAACAGTCAGGCCTGGGCCAGGCTGAAGCCAGGATTGAGGAACTCAATTCAGGTCTCATGAGGGTAAAAGGTACCCAAGTACTTGCACACCTCCCAGAGTGTGCATTAGTAGGAAGCTGGAATGGAGAATGAAGCTGGGACTTGAACCCATGTACTCTGACATGAGATGTGGGTGTCCCAACCGACATTTTAACTGCTGTGCCAGACTCCTACCCCTCGGTAATTTTGAGTTATCAGCTTGAAGAGGAAGCCAGATTTGGTGTTTGTATGTACCAAAGCATTCTTCTGTTTTATGATCCCACGCCATGGTGCCGTGTCTTGGTGATATCACTGTTTGATGGAATCTTATCAGCGTGTCAAGAATTAAACTGTGAAATAGAGTAGGGATCGTGGGAAGGAGGATTTGGAAGGAACTAATACAAAAAGCTTTTTAATTTTGTTCTCTGGAGTGGATAGTGCTGTGAGGAAGTTGGAATATATATTTTTTGAGAGTTGTAGGAGTTGTTTTTGAAGTATGACTTCACTTACACAATCTAGTTTGTGTGAAACTATTTTAAAATGTTCAGCTAGGCTAAGATTTTAGTTTCTAAACTAATTTTCAATATATATTATGTGATAATTTACTTTAAGCTTGTTATCTCTATTTGCTTTGTACAGCTTGCTTTTTAAAATAAATGAATTTGTTTTATTATTAATAGGGAAAGTTTGGCTGTTGGTGACTTTAAGTTAGGGTCTAATGTCAGCCTGGCAAAAATTAAACAGGATCAGAAACTGATTGAAGAAAATGAAAAGCTTAAGACAGAGAAGGAGGTTCTTCTTGAAAGTTACAAGGCACTAGAATCTAAAGTAGAGCAGACTGCCCGGGAGCTGCAGGTACGTTCAGTGCCTTCAGGTAAGGAGTGTCTGGTTGGGAACCCTGCGTACTGTATGTGCTTCTTCCCAACCCCACTGTTGTTCTGTCTCTCTCCTCTGTGCCTCCCCTCCTCCTTTCCTTTGCTCCCTGCCTCTCTCCTTCTCCACCTCTGCCCTCTCTCTCTCTCTCTCTCTTGCTGGCATTTTTTCTTTCCCTTTCTTTTTCCTTCCTCTTCTCTCCTTCTTTCTTTATATTTGTTATAGGTGGAATTTTTCCTGTACTTCAAACTGTCCTTGCATTTCATTGGGTGTTTGAAAGTAGAATAATTTCTCATTTATATTTCATGTTCTTCTAAAAACTTTTAAATATGGAAATTTTAAAAGTTTCCAAAAGGAGATAATTAAATAATTAATCGTCGTGTATTCATCACTCAGTTTTCATAATTGTTAAACATTTAAACATATGAACAAATCCTGTTTATTAAACTTTTAAAGCACATAAAAACTATACATATGTTTATGGGATACCATGTGATTTTTTTGATATACATATACATTATGTAATGTCCAGTCAGGATAAATATCTCCTCAAACATTTAACATTTCTTTGTGGTGAAAACATCCAAAACTCTACCTTGTAGTTTTTAAAATAAGGAAATATACAATACATTAACATTAGCTATAGTCATCGTATTGTGTAATAGTACCCTAGAACATCTTACTCCCATCTAGCTGTAACTTAGTGCCTGTTAATCAGCCTCTCCCCAGACCTCCCTCTCCCCTTGCCTTCCTAGCCTCTGGTAGTCTTCATTATGCTTTTAACTTCTGTGAGATCACCATTCTTTCTTTATTTTTCTCTTTCTTTTTTTCCCCCCTCCCCTCTCCTGCTTCTCCACTCCCCTTCCTCTCCCTTACTTTCCTCTCTCCTTCCCCTTCCTTCCTTTTTTTAGATTCCACACATGAGTAGTGAGATATTTGTGTTTCTGTGCTTGCTTATTTCACTTAACACAGCAACCTCCAGCCTATCCATATTGTTTTAAATGACGAGATTGTGTTTGTAGACGGCTGAGTGGTAGTCCATTGTGTATGTTCACCACCTTTCTTTATCCACTCAAAGGTGGATGGATGCTTAGGTTGTTTCCTTTTCTTAACTGTAGTGAAGAGTGCTGCAGTCAACATGAAAGTACAAATATCTCTTCCACAAGAGATTCCATTCCTTTGGCTGTATATCCAGGAGTGAATCGTATGGTAGTTCCAATTTCAGCTTTGAGGAGCTCCACACCATTTTCCATAAGTGTACCAGCTTACATTCCCACCAACAGTAGGCAAGCTTACATTGCTCTTCACCCCTTACCAGCACTTGTTAGGTTTTGTCTTTTTCATGTCTTGTTCTAAAAAAATTTATTTGAAAAGCAGAGTGACAGAGAGGGAGTGAAGGATTTTTCCATCTGCTGGTTCACTACATAAATGGCCATAATTACTGGGACTGGGTTAGGTCAAAGCCAGGAACCTAGAACTCCATCCTGTCTCCACGTGGGCACTGTAGCATTTTTTTGCTGCTTTCCCAGGTGCATTAGCAGGGAGCTGGATTGGAAGCAGGAGCAGCTGGAACTCCATCCTGCTGTCACACGAGGGTAGTAGGAATCCAAGCACTTGGGCCATCTTCTGCTGCATTCCCATGCGGGTTAGCAGGAAACTGGATTCAAGTGGAGTATGTAGGACTTGAACCAGTGCTCAAATGGGATGCTGCATTGCAGGCAGTGCCTTAACCCACTGCTCCACAACACTGGCTCCTGTTCCTTGGTATCAGAGAGCATATTCTGTGATTTCAGTTCTTTTAAGGTTATTGAGGTTTGCTTTATTATCCTATATGTATTCTATCTTTGGAAATGATTCATGAATTCTTAGAAATTTTGTGTGTTCTACAATTTTTGGCAGAGGTATTTTATAAATGTTAATTAGATCTACTCTGTTAATATTTTTAGGTATTTTATATCCTGATTTTCTGTCTCCTTGTTTCATCATTTACTGAGAGAAAAGTGTTATAATAATCAGATATTGCTGTGGCTTTGTCTGTTTCTCCCTTATGTTCTATTAGTTTTTATTTCATAACTTTAAAGCCCTGCTATTAGGAACATACACACTTATAATTGTATCTTTGTGATAAATTGATCCATTTATCTTTATCTTTATGAAGTGTCCCTCTTTGTCACTTAGACATAGTCCGTGTCCTAAAATCTGTGTTTTGGTATTATAGCTTTATTTTCATGGTGTATCTTTTCTATCCTTTAACTTTGATTTGTTTCTTTGGGTCTCATAAGTGTTTTTTTGTAAGCAGCATTTAGTTGAATGTAGGCTCTTTCATTCTACATGGAAAATCTTAATGTTTTTTATTGGGAATGCTTAGCTCATTTTCTTTTTTTTTTTTTTTAAGATTTATTTATTTATTTGAAAGTCAGAGTTACAAAGAGAGGAGAGCCAGAGAGAGAGAGACAGAGAGGTCTTCCACCTGCTGGTTCATTCCCCAGTTGGCCACAAAGTCGGAGCCATGTTGATCTGAAGCTAGGAGCTAGGAGCTTCTTCCGGGTCTCCCACATAGGTGCAGGGCCCAAGGACTTGGGCCATCTTCCACTGCCTTTCCCAGGACATAGAGGAGAGCTGGATCAGAAGTGGAGCAGCTGGGACTTGAACTGGTGCCCATATGGGATGCTGGCACTGCAAGCTGCGGCTTTACCCGCTATACCACAGCTCTGGCCCCTTAGCTCATTTTCATTTAGCATAATTATTGATGTGCTTGGGTTTAAGTCTACCATCTTTTTTCTTTGTTTTAAGAACCATATTCATTATTTATTATGTGATTTACATTCTGTTTGTTTTTACAAGTGGAGTATGAATTCAAGACAGTTGAGAAGCAATATGAGTTCACAGTTCTGTTAGATTTAAATAGTTCCTTCCCTCAGTATTTTATAGTTCTCATCCACATATAATTCATTAGCAATTCTATTAAACCTTGTTTTCATGGAGTCTTAACACAGTTTAAACACAATTTTCAAGGATTCAAAAACTTTTCATTTTCCTCCTGTTTCTTAGATTTTTTGAGACTGTTACAGTAAGTACAGTAAATATAAACAGATTTAGGAATGAATGTAGCTGATTTTTCATGGTCATCCTACTCAGCAAGTGGGAGCCATTGGGCGTAAGCATAGCCTAATATTAATGAACATTCAGTGTATTCTTGTTCTGTCTCTCTGTTTCCCTCTAGCATTGGAGAAAACAGGACTGGAGAGCATATTATTGAAATATTAAGTAAAAGTTCTGTGTAATTGTTGTTTGGAGCATCATTAGCATAAAATTTCCATGTCTTTATAGTACTGCTCCATACATTATTTAGGATAATCATAGAGACATGTAATTTAGGTACCACTCAAAATCTGGGAGTTAAATTTGCCTTAGGTGAGGAAATGATTATGACTTCTTTGTATTGCAAAATGACAAAAGACTTCATCATGTAACAAATTGTCATTGATAATCATTAGGAGTCTTTGGTTTTTATGGAGACCTTTTATGTATTTAAAAAATCTAAGTCTTAAGAGATAAGTTTGTGAAATTTTGTTTCTTTTTGACTCCTTAATATGATGAGATGTAAGAGTCTGTAATTTACATGAATGTAGAGAACTGGGAATGGATTCTTTTTTATATCTCAATTAGTAGGGAAGCCAGTTTTTTGTTACCTGTGGCCTAACATTTTTTAACCTTTAAAATTTTGTTTAATTATTGCCGGCGCCGTGGCTCAATAGGCTAATCCTCCACCTTGCGGCGCCGGCACACCGGGTTCTAGTCCCGGTTGGGGCGCCGGATTCTGTCCCGGTTGCCCCTCTTCCAGGCCAGCTCTCTGCTATGGCCAGGGAGTGCAGTGGAGGATGGCCCAGGTGCTTGGGCCCTGCACCCCATGGGAGACCAGGAAAAGCACCTGGCTCCTGGCTCCTGCCAGGATCAGCGCGGTGCGCCGGCTGCAGCGGCGGCCATTGGAGGGTGAACCAACGGCAAAGGAAGACCTTTCTCTCTCTGTCTCTCTCTCTCACTGTCCACTCTGCCTGTCAAAAAAAAAAAAAAAAAAAAAAAAAAAATTTTGTTTAATTATAATGAAAAGATCATTTGAATAGTAGCAGAAAAACAGTTTCCTCTTTAGATCTCACTGGGATGTGCTTGTTCTTCGTTTCAGCAAGAGAAAGCAAATACCATGGATTTGACAAAACATTTAGAGAGTACTTTAAAGACTCGTATAGGTACCAGAATGAAAAATCTGGCAGCAAAGGTGGAAATACTGAAAGAAATTAGGTAGGTAAAAGCATGTTTTTGAGAAGGATACTTTAAAATAATTGTTAATTAGCTGGTGTTTTCTTTATATTGCGTGCCCACCCTTTTTACTTTGAGAAAAATTTATTGGAGTGAGAGAGAGAAGAGTGGAGGAGAGGAGAGGGGAGGAGACATCTCCCTTGTGCTGGTTCACTTCCCAAATGCGTGACAGCTGGGGCTTGGCAGCCCAAGTATCCAACATGTGTGGCAGAGACCCGAATACTTGAGCTGTCATTGCTGTCTCCTAGTCTAGGTAGGTAGAAAATGAGCCAAGAATGGATCCCGGAATCAAATCCAGACGCTCTGATGTGGGGCATGGGCATCTTAGCCATTAGGCTGAATACCTATTTCTGCTGTGATATGTAATCTTTATTTTTTGGCTTTAAAGAGAGAAATTAAGAGAAGTTTTTCTTGAAGTGAATTTTATAATGTTTTTATGAGTTTTCCGTTGTTACTAACTTGGAGCTGAAGTGACTCAAGGTCATCGCTGAGAGTGAAATCATAAAAAGAATCAACTCAACTTCTGAGGGGTAGTTTGTTGAGAAACTATTGTGTCCCATAGTTTTCTTTGGGGTTGTTTTCAGGAGTATACTGGAACTAAATATTTCAGTAATTTGAATTAATTGTACTCTGTTTAAAAAAGATTATTTGTGAAGTAATCTTCATAGAATCAGAAAAAATTGGTTAGCAAGTCTTGTGTAGTTTATTCTGTGTTACTAAAAGTCTGTTTTAGAATTGTATAGGGGTTTTATCTTACTCTTTTTTTTTTTTTAAGAGTTTATTTATTTATTTGAAAGGCAGAGTTAGAGGCAGAGGCAGAGAGAGAAGTCTTCCATCTGCTGGTTCATTCCGTAAATGTCCGCAGTGGCTGGAGTTAGGCTGATCCAAAGCCTAGCCAGGAGCTTCTTCCGGGTCTCCCACGTGGGCACAGGAGCCCAAGCACTTGGGCCTTCTTCCGCTGCTTTCCCAGGCATATTAGCAGGGAGCTGGATTGGAAGTGGAGCAGCTGGGATTCAAACTGGCCCCCATATGGGATGCGGGCACTGCAGGCAGCTTTACCTGCTATGCCACAGTACTGGCCCCTCCCTACCCTTTTTTGAAAGAAAATATTTTCTACTGCAAATACTCTGCATCTGTTTTTATTTAAAATTTATTTATTTAAGAAGCAGAGAGAGAGTACGCTCGCGCGAGCGAGCGAGCTAGTGAGAGCATGGGATCATTAGTGTGTGCCAACCAGCCAATCAGATGCACAGCACACACAGCTTAGTTTCCAAATTCCTGCAACAGCCAGGCTGGGGCAGGCCAAAACTGGAATCTAGGACCCCAATTCAGATCTCCCAGGTGTCTGCAGAGACCCAGCTACTGTAGGGATCCCCTGTTGCTTCCCAGGGTGTGCATTATGTAGGAAACTGGAACTGGGAGTGAAGCTGGGACTTGAAATGGGCAGTCTAGCATGGGGTAGGCCAAGTACCCATTCCCTAGTTCCCTGTACGCACCAAACTGCTAAACTGGTAATTTATTTTCCTCTGCACTTTGACACACTAAGAAGATATTGTCTTGAATGAATACTGTGGTTTTTTTTAATTTTCCTGATAAAAATTTATATTCTGTAGTCTAAATCCTTCAGTTGACAGTGGTTTATAAGCCTTTTAAGAGTTTGAATAACTTGGTCATGGTAGAGACTAAATAAAAAATCAAGTGACTGTTCTGGCAAAGCTGTGAGCCAGACTTTGTATCAAAGTGACCCAATATTAATCTACATTTGAGGAAAGAGTGTGCTATTAAAATGGTGGCAGTCTACTTGGAAACTACAAAAAACTCATTTGGGTGGTGAATCTTAAAAGTTCAGCTAATTGGCCTTTCTGATTACTTTTTTTAAAAAGAGTTTTATTTATTTGAGAGGTAGAGTTATAGATAGGGAGAGCGAGAGACAGAGAGAAAGGTCTTCTATCCACTGGTTCATTCCCCATATGGTTGCAACTGCTGGAGCTGGGCCAATCAGAAGCCAGGAGCCAGGAGCTTCTTCCTGGTCTCCCACGTGAATTCAGAGGCCCAAACACTTAAGCTGTCTTCCACTGCTTTTCCAGGCCATTAGCAGGGAGCTGGATCAGAACAGGAGCAGCTGCAACATAAATGGGCACCCACACCCGCCCTCTGATTGCTTTTTTTAAATTTATTTTTAAGCTCAGCAAATGCTGATTGTTTGTTAGGGTATAATTACTATGTGCCTATAATCTTGATTAGCAGGATTGGCTGTGTATACATTTTTAAAAAAATTGAAGACCAAGAGAGTGCTCTCCCTTTTGCTGGTTTTCTCCCCAGATGCCTATAAAGACTGAATCTGGGCTGGATTGGGGTCTCCTAAGTGACTGGCAACAATCCAGTTATTGAGCCATCACTGCTACCTTCTAGGGTGTGCATTGGCAGGAGACTGGAGGCAGGAGCCAGAGCCAGCAATTAAATCCAGGTACTCTGATAAAGAATGCAGGCATCTCAACTGCTAGGCCAGACACCCACTCCAATGTCTAAAATTTTTAATACAGTATTTATACATCTAATTGTAGACTAGAAAGTGAAGGTTTATTTGGTATTTTAAGTTCTGCAGACTTTTGAAGTTGTCCTTTTATATAAGATATTTTTAAAAATTATTTTTCCAAGCTTTGGCGCTGTGGCTTAGTTGGTTAAAGCGCCTGTCTAGTAAAATTATTTTTCCACAAATATATATATATATTAAAAATTTATTTATTTGAAAAAGTTACAGAAAGAGAGACAGGGAGAGTCACAGAGAGAGATCTTCCAATTGCTGGTTCATTCCACTGATGACCGCAATGGCCAGAGCTGAGCTAGGCCAAAGCCAGCAGGCCAGGCCAAAGCCAGGAGCCCATAGTGTCTTCTAGGTCTCCCATGTGGGTGGCAGGGCTCTAAGCATTTGGGCCATCTTCCACTGCTTTTCTTAAGCCATTAGCAGGGAGCTTCATCGGGATTGGAACAGCTGGGACTCAAACTGGTAGTGGCTTTACCTGTTACACCACAATGCCAGCCCTGCCACAAATATTTTTTTAATTAAAGGTTTTTGTATTAAAGTTATATATGATTTATTTTAAGTTTTAAAAAGTACTTCTGGCCAGCGCCGTGGCTAAATAGGCTAATCCTCCGCCTAGCGGCGCCGGCACACCAGGTTCTACTCCCGGTCGGGGCGCCGGATTCTGTCCCGGTTGTCCCTCTTCCAGGCCAGCTCTCTGCTGTGGCCCGGGAGTGCAGTGGAGGATGGCCCAAGTGCTTGGGCCCTGCACCCCATGGGAGACCAGGAGAAGCACCTGGCTCCTGGCTCCTGCCTTCGGATAGGCGCAGTGCGCCAGCTGCAGCGCGGCAGCCATTGTAGGGTGAACAAACGGCAAAAGGAAGACCTTTCTCTCTCTCTTTCTCTCTCTCTCTCACTGTCTACTCTGCCTGTTTAAAAAAAAAAAAAAAAGTACTTATTCACAGCCAGTGCTGTAAATAGTAACTTTAGACCATTACTGTTTAAGTTGTTCTTACACCAGCATTCTAATTTCTTGATCTTTTTCTCTTTGCTGTTTGTTTTTTTATAGGCGTGTCAACATTAATGTTCGTTTTGGAGATGACCTTTCAGAAGCTATGCAGGTGTTGGATGAGGGGTGCTTTACTACCCTACCTTCTATGAATGAATTAGAGATCCTTTGGGCAGAATACAATCTAGCTCAGGAGAAGATTCAAACCTGCGGTAATGTGGTGAGTTGATAATTTTGGTTTTTATTTATTGAACATAAACAAATACCGCCTTTTGAGAAAGCAGAGGGACCACAGGAATTGTAATACTTTATTTACCTAAAATATTTAACTTATATTGTATCTTTGTATTATTAATTCGATTCTTTTATTGTCTTATATGAAAGATAGGATAGGGGCCGGTATTGTGGCATAGTAGGCAAAGCTGCTGCCTGCATTGCTGGCATCCCATATGGGCACTAGTTTGAGTCCTGGCTGCTCCACTTCCGATCCAGCTCCCCTCTAATGAGCCTGGGAAAGCAGTGGAAGATGGCCTGAGTCTTTGGGCCCCTAACCCACATAGGAGATCTGGCTGGAAATCCTGGCTCTCTGCTTCAGCCTGGCCCAGCCCTGCCTGTTGTTGCTATTTGGGAAGTGAACCAACAAATCAAAAATCTCTTTTCACTCTATCTCTCCCTCTCTTTCTTTATAACTGTGCTATTCAAATAAATAAAAATAAATCTTTAAAGAAAAAAAAGATAGGGTAGATACATGGTAATTGTGGATACAGCGCTAACAAAATCTTTTCCCATTTTATATGAGAATATCACCTTTGATGAACTCCTTCTCTGTATTCCTTGATAATATGATAAAATGATATTTCAGTCACATTACCAGGCAACATTGTTTATGGGAAATATAATTTCTGACTAGTGAATTGTATCCCCACTGGAAGAAACCATAAACTGCAAACACTTGGTAAAGAATCTTGAGGGCCCTGGAAACTGTGCTAGGGAGTTTTAAGAGCTAATGGCTTTTTTAAAAAAAAGATTTATTTATTTATTTGAAAGTCAGGGTTACACAGAGAGAGGAGAGGCAGAGAGAGAGAGAGAGAGAGAGAGAGAGAGAGAGAGAGAGAGATGTCTTCCATGCGCTGGTTTGCTCCCCAATTGGCCGCAATGGCCGGAGCTGCACGGATCCAAAGCCAGGAGCCAGGAGCTTCTTCCGGGTCTCCCACGTGGGTGCAGGGACCCAAGGACTTGGGCCATCTTCCACTGCTTTCCCAGGCCATAGCAGAGAGCTGGATCGGAAGTGGAGCAGCCGGGTCTTGAACCGGCACCCATATGGGATGCCGGTGCTTTAGGTCAGGGCGTTAACCCGCTGCGCCACAGCGCCAGCCCCAAGAGTTAATGGCTTTTGAGGGGCATGGAGCCACCTTGCCTAGTAATGTGGATCTTGTCACGTAGTCTGAATGATGTGTTTTATGCTGCACTTTTGAACCCTGCCTTACTGTTAGACACTGTCTTGGCCACCTGGTATTGAATGGGAATTGATTATATGTGTGGGGTAATGTAAGAAAAATGAAAAATTTCATATTAGTTCTTGGTTAGCCTCAGAACTGGTATATTGCCTGTTGCAGTTTTCTTTAGTGAATTATGTTAAGCTGACCAGAACTCCTTGTGAAGATATTTCCCCCCCACCCCCACCCCTTATAGCTTTCCATAGCACCTATGAGGTCTGTACTTGAGGTTAGGCCTGCCTCGTCTTAAGTATTGGTAGTTTCTGCATCTTGGTTTATATCCTAAGAGTCTTACTCCTCCTTCGTAGGTATATGGGCCAGTTGGCCACGCAACTGGCTCTGAAGTAGAAGTATGAGCAGGATATTCAGAGCGGGACTGTTGGGAATGCTTAGTTTGGAGAAGGGTTAGATTTGGATTACTTTACATATAGATCCTAATGGGTCACTTCTTCTTATGGAAGAAAAAATATAAGTTTTGAATACATATGAAGCATGGGTAATATATAGGTAACTTAAAATGTTTTCCTACACTTACGTTTAGTATGACCATTTTTGCTCCCATTTTATAAGTAAGGAAGCAGGCTCAGAAGGGTTAAGGAATTTTCAAGATTATACTCATGTGTTCTAAATGTTAATAGGAAATTTAAACCCAGGCATGTCTGACTTAAGAAAAGTACTTGAAAGAAAATTTATGGCCGGTGCTGCAGCTCAATAGGCTAATCTTCTGCCTGCGATGCTGGCACCCTGGGTTCTAGTCCCGGTCGGGGCGCTGGGTTCTGTCCTGGTTGCCCCTCTTCCAGTCCAGCTCTCTGCTGTGGCCAGGGAGTGCAGTGGAGGATGGCCCAAGTCCTTGGGCCCTGCACTCACATGGGAGTCCAGGAGAAGCACCTGGCTCCTGCCATCGGATCAGCGCGGTGTGGCGGCTGCAGCACATGGGCCGCAGCGGCCATTGGAGGGTGAACCAACGGCAAAGGAAGACCTTTCTCTCTGTCTCTCTCTCTCTCTCTGTCCACTCTGTCAAAAAAAATATATATATATATATATTCTTTTTTTTAGACAATTCAGATTGTCAATATTAAACACTTCTTCAGGTATTTTTATATAATAAGATGAATAGCTGAAAAAGAACTGCTTTTTTTGGTTTTCTTTTGTTTTTGTAGTTTGAGCAAATTTGAGTTCAGAGCAGAGGGGCATGGATTAATGTATGTAGCTTTAAAAGGACTTGGTATCCTAGTAGTAAAAATGTAATTTTTAAAAAAGATTTATTTATTTACTTGAAAGTCAGAGTTAGAGAGAGGAGAGGCAGAGAGAGAGAGAGAGGGAGGGAGGGAGGGAAGGAGTGAGGGAGGGAGAGAGAGTTCTTCTGTCTGCTGGTTCACTCCCCAGTTGGCTGCAATGGCTGGAGCTGTGGCGATCTGAAGCCAGGAGCCAGGAGCTTCTTCTGGGTCTCCCACGTAGTTGCAGGGGCCCAAGGACTCTGCTTTTCCAGGCCATAGCAGAGAGCTGGATTGGAAGAGGAGCAGCCAGGACTCAAACTGGAGTCCATATGAGATCCCAGCACCGAAGCAATGGCTTTACCTGCTATGCCACAGTGCCGGCCCAAATGTAATGTTTTTAAAAAGCAAATATTTGTTTCTACCACTACTGATGTTTCAGGACTTAAAGTTCATTTGGTAAATTGAGGGATGGATTATTGGATAAACACCAGGTCGTAATTGTCACTCAGATGTAGTTGCCATTTTATTTCTTTTAATTACTTTGGGTCTTAAAATTGTTACTTAATGCGGTTTGCATAGTTCTTAATATGATGGCCGTTTTTCTTTTATTGGATGAAAGAAGTGGTATTTATTTCAGTTTCTTTTCCTGTTTTTTTGTTACAAAATAGTCTAATTGAGCTATATAAGAAAGACTATACTAAAATTTAAGCTGTTAAGTATATGGGCCAGGTATATTATAGGTAATGGAGATAAGAATTTTTCTAAGACCTGATCCTTTCTCTCTTGATTATGGGATGGGTATAATAGCAGTTTCAGTACAGTTTGGTAAGTACTGTACTAGAGACAATGCACAGGACTTTTGGGTATCTTTCATACATGTATTTCTACATATTCCTTTTGGGTGAACTGGTGGTTTCAGCCTAGTAGAGTTTAACTGACTCTTGAAAGATGAGTGGGTAAAGGAGTTGAGGATGGTATGGGAACAGGAGGGGGCAGAATATAATTAATAATAGGATCTTGTCTGATTTTCTCAAAGAAAAATGGAAATTCCACTTTTGCAGGATAAGGGGAAAATATAGATTAGCAGGACAGGATTGTTGAATTTTAGTTATTTGAATTAATAGAGTTTTTTTTTTTGTCATTTTAGATCTAAGGAGAGCAGTGTATACTACTGTGTTTGGAGAATGTAATGTTAAATTTTAGAGCTCACTTTCTTCATATAGTTCAATGTGTAAATAATATCTCTGTAGTAACAGTTATTGTTTTATTCTTCCTCCAGACTGAAGGCAATATTTTGATTGCCGAAAGAAATGAAGTGCAACAGAAGCTATACATGGCAGTAGAAGTTTTTATTCTGGAAGTAGATGAGTTACTTCTTAATAAACGTTTAAAAACCTTGAAGGTTGGAATTACATTTAAAATAATTAAGTATATTTTAAATTATAAGTGTATCATCTGAGAGGTGAAATTGTATTAACCTTGAGACTTCAGATAGTACTGATAGCTGCAAAATTTTTTTCCTTTGCTGAATTCTGGTTTTTGATGGAATTAAACGTTCATTCTGGTATATTTAATATTTATGGATCTGTTTTACAAAGAAGGCAGAATGGCCAGACTCTCCCGGCTTGCTAGAGCAGCATTCATTTAGGAAACTCCAGGAGATAGGACCCATAGCAGGCATGTGGGCTCCCTGTTGTCCATTGCATTCTGGCAGAAAATCTAGGAGGGCCATGCATCAGAGTTAGGGAGAAGGGACCCTGATCCTTGAGCTAGAGGGCTTTTAGGCACATGGTCAGTGTGCCTTCAGCCCTGTCACTGTCAGCAGTGAGTCGAGTTTGGAATGAATGAACGTGGTAGTGGCAGGTCACTGCACCTAGTGACATAATACTATTCTCTGTTTATTTGGATCTTTTTTGTTTTTGTGGTCCTATAATATTGTTTAGAAATTTTCTCTAAAAATAGACAATTTATCTTAACTCTAAGCTATTTGTACTTTTGACTGCTTTTATTTTGTGTTGTCTTATTTTCCATTTCCTCATTATTATTGATCAAATAGAGGTTATCATATATCAGTGTCTTTCTGGCAGTTCTGCTGATTTAATTCTCATTTGTCTCTTGATACTCTGAGCTTTCTGTATGGTCATGTAATTTGAAAACAATCCTTTTTTTCTCTTTTTAATCCTTCTAACTTTCATGTATTTGAATTTTTAATGATTTTGTCAGTATCTCTGGTACTAAGTTGGACAGTGGCTGCTATCTACCTTATTTGGATTTCTGGGAATCTACTTGCTAGAAATTTGGAGATGAGAATATTCAGGGACATCTGGACCCTGTTTCTCTCTATACCCTGATGAAGATGTGGTATTGATCATGCTGTGTATGATTCAGGAACCGCTGGAGCCCTGGTTTGAAATAATTCTTAAGTAGAATTATATAGCTTAATTTCTTCCAAAATGGTGAAGTAAGCCTTGCATATGAAAGTGTGATGGTGTAGTAAGAATTTACCTTTCTACAAAGCAACTTCTACTTTACCCTATAAAGATTTATTTCTTCCTATGAATTGTTTGTAAAATAGGTTGAGAGTCTGTAACCAAGGTTATCTTTAAGGCTGCTTTATTTTTAAAGTTTAATACAGGTTAGGTACCCTAATCTGAAAATTGGAAATCTCAAATACTCTGAAGTCACTATCTAGATAGCCTTGTGTTGTGTCCTTGTTAAGTGATTCTAAGTTTTATTCTGATTTCCTGTTCTTTGGATTCTAACACTGGACTTGAATCCTAATGAGCAGTTAATAAGCTTTAATAAACATAAGAGTATCTCTCTGTAGGATTTGTCAGCCTCTTTAGAAGCAGTGTATGGACCGGCCAAAGAAGGAACACACTCTGAGGATATCCTTAGAAAATTTTATGACTGGAAGTGTGATAAACGGGAGGAGTTCACCAAAATTAGAAGTGAGACAGAGGCTTCTCTGCAGCGTCTCGTAGCGTGGTTCCAGAGCACCTTAAAGGTAGAGAGAGCGCGTGCGCGGTGCTGTTGGTACACAAAGAAGAATAGATACCCAAGCATCTGCCTTCTTGGTTCCTGAGTGACACTGTCTGCCTGTTCCCCGTCGGAGTCCCACCTTACACCTGAGGGTGCAGGACTCTCTGAGTTTTCACACCGCTGCTTTCAGTGCTCTAAAAAACCATTGTCTTGGTTTTGGTCCTGTTTTTTTCTCTGGATTGTCCCCTCACCTGTCTATACTGCTGCTTTTTCTCAGATCAGCTGTGTGTCAGTGCCTTTTCCCTTCTGGTACGTGAGTGTTGCCACAGCGGGTGCTTTAGCTTTTGTCTGTATTCTTGTTTCCCTATACATTGTCCTGGAGATAGCTTAATGCTCTGCTTCAGGTGTAAGGGCACAGTGGCTACTAATTGAATTAATTAAATGAGATATGTTGTGTTTTTATTTTTTGCAAAAAAGGTTTTTGATCTCTCTGTGGAAGAACCAGCAAGCTCTGATGATACAGTTGGTAACATTGATGAGATCCTAGAGAAGACTGAGTCCTGTCTCTGCAAAGAGCTGGAGGTGTCTCTGATTGTGAGTACTGACCTTGTCTTTGCTTCCTTAATGAAGCAGGTTTCACTGGCTGCTCTTAGCTTTCCTGTGACAGAGCTTTTCAAGAGAGTAACACTATCAAGTTCTAATCCAAATAGAGTGCAATTTTATTATTCTGTAGAGTTGCATTTCACTTTCATGGGATATTTTACATAAAAAAACCCAATTTTTAATTCTAGGAATGCTAAGGAGGGACAGGAAAAAAAACTCCCATTTGCTGATTGACTACAGATTCCCCCTAGAGCTGGGAACTCAGTTGAGATCTCATCTGTGGATGGCAGAGACCCAGTTGTTTGAGTCATCACCTGCTGCCTCTCAGGGTCTGCAATTAGCAGAAAGCTGGAGTGAAGAAGTGCCCATGCACTCTGATATGAGATGTGGATGTCTTAAACAGCATTTTGCTTAACCAAATGCCTATGCCAAAGAAAACTCCTTTTAATGTGAAGGATCAGCTTTCTATATCATTTGATTCTTGAGTCCATCATACCCAATGACTGTTAGAAATGACTCCTGGTGCCGGTGCTGTGGCATAGTGGGTAAAGCCGTAACCTGCAATGCTGGCATCCCATATGGGCACCCGTTTGAGTCCTGGCTGTTCCACTTCTGATCCAGCTCCCTGCTAATGTGCCTGGAAGAACAGTAAAGGATGGCCCAAGGTCTTGGGTCCCTGTACCTGTCGTGGACACCCGAGTGAAGCTCCTAGCTCCTGGCTTCAGCCTGGTGCAGCCCTACCCGTTGCAGCCATTTGTGGAGTGAACCAATTGGTGGAAGATCTCTGTCTGTCTGTCTCTTCTCTCTCTTTCTCTCTAACTCTGCCTTCAAATAAATAAAATCTTTTTTTTCCTCAAAGAAATTACTCCTTAGAGCTTGTGAAAACTTGAAAGTTAGGAGAGCTCTGGAAGTAGACACACGATTGCTCAGTAGCCCTTTTTCTCTCTTGCTTTTAAAAAGTATGTATTTAGGCCGGCGCCGCGGCTCACTAGGCTAATCCTCCGCCTAGCGGCGCCGGCACACCGGGTTCTAGTCCCGGTCGGGGCGCCGGATTCTGTCCCGGTTGCCCCTCTTCCAGGCCAGCTCTCTGCTATGGCCAGGGAGTGCAGTGGAGGATGGCCCAGGTGCTTGGGCCCTGCACCCCATGGGAGACCAGGATAAGCACCTGGCTCCTGGCTCCTGCCATCGGATCAGCGCGGTGCGCCGGCCGCGGCGGCCATTGGAGGGTGAACCAACGGCAAAGGAAGACCTTTCTCTCTGTCTCTCTCTCTCACTGTCCACTCTGCCTGTCAAAAAAAAAAAAGTATGTATTTAATTTATTTGGAAGGTAAATACACTCATGCAAAACACATACACACATATTCACAGAATGAAAGAGAGAGAAGAAAGGAAGGAGAAATATTTCCTGCCTCCTGATTCATTCCCCAGATGCTTTACAATAGCTGGGGCTGGGCCAGGCCAACTGAAGCCAGGAACTCAATTTGGGTCACTTATGTGGGTAGCAGGAATCTAACTACTTGAACCATCAGTGCTGCCTCCCAGGGTGTGTGCATTCGCAGGATGATGGAATTGGGCATGGTGTCTAGATTTGAAGCCAGTCACTCTGATATGAGATGCAGGGATCACAAGCAGTGTCTAAACTGCTGTGCCAAACATCTGTAGTGCTGTATCAAATTAAAAATTTGTGTAGCTCCTGTAAAGAGTATTTTCAAATTGTAACATTGCTCACTAGGACTCCTTCCAGGTTATTTAGGCTGCTTGCTAAAGTCGCGGTGGTTGTACTTTTCATTTTACTTCTTACTTTTTTTAGTTTTGCAGATTAGTTCATAGCATGTGACAGTATATATTGCTATATTTCCTTATTATTTAATCCTGATATATGTGATATATGTTTTTGTCAGTCTTGATTTTAGAAATGGTTAATAAATGATTTAAAAAAATAATGGTTGACATTCTATATGTTGTGTAATTGTTGTATAATTGTAGTAATATCCCTGATTTCCTTTAGCACTCTTCTCCAGGGAGCTTCAGGAGTAATCTGTAGTGTAATAGGGGTAAAATTTTCTATATGGACATGTTTGATATCAGTCTCTCTAATGTTTAGAAAATATTTTTGTATAAAAATATTTTGAAATGGCTATAGAAGTTTATCAAAGGTACCATTTTGAACTTTATCAATTTTAATTGAAGGTTTAATTATTTTGACTTCCCTTATGCATAATTTCATGTGTGTGGTTTTATTTAGGAGCAAGGTGATACAGACAAGGAGATCATTTTAGATACATATGGTCAAGTGCTACAGAAGATCCGTTCAGAGGAAAGACTCATTGCCTCAGTACAAGCCAAGTACAAGGACAGTGTTGAGGTTGGATTACACTTTCTCTAATTGATTTTATATATTTCTTTGAAATTTTTAACACTTAAATTTTTTCACAAGCAGTTTAATATTCAGTGTGTTGGTAAATTACTTATTGTTAACAGAATGGTCATTGTTAGATGGCATAGAATGGAATTCACTATAAAGTGGACATTGTGATTTTTGTTGATAAAATATACTTAATATTTTTTTCTTAACCTTTTGATTTTCTTATGTCTTTGACAGCATTTATCAGTTTCTTCTAACCATAAAAGTTTATTATAGAAAACTTGCTATATACAGAAAGCAAAGAAGAAATAAAAATATGACTTAAAAACCCCTACTCTGAGAGTTTCAGAGTATATTCTATTTGGAGGTGACATAATATACAAGAGCTCATAAGGAAGTTTGTGGAAAATGTGCATTACTAAAAAAAACTATGTACAGATTTCAGATTTTTCCCACCAAAGTAAACTTGTCTCTTAATTCTTTTTCCAGGAACTTCTTAAAGTACTCTTGTGTGTATGTGTATACACCCACCTGTCTATCTATGATGCATTGCTTTGTCTTGTAGGCTATTTTGAAAATATTTTCTTTATTTAAAAAATTTTTATTGGAGTTAGCTCCTGTTTATTCATTATTTTTTCAAAGAAACCTTTTATTTAACGAGTACAAATTTCATAAATACAACTTTAGAAATATAGTGATTCTTTACACCACACCCACCTTTCCATCCTCACTCCCACCCCATCTCCTCCTCTCTCTCCCTTCCCAGTCCCATTCTCCATTAAGATTCATTTTTAATTTTTTTTTTTGACAGGCAGAGTGGACAGTGAGAGAGAGAGACAGAGAGAAAGGTCTTCCTTTGCCGTTGGTTCACCCTCCAATGGCCACTGTGGCCGGTGCGCTGCGGCCGGCGCACCGCGCTGATCCGATGGCAGGAGCCAGGTACTTATCCTGGTCTCCCATGGGGTGCAGGGCCCAAGTACTTGGGCCATCCTCCACTGCACTCCCGAGCCACAGCAGAGAGCTGGCCTGGAAGAGGGGCAACCGGGACAGAATCCGGTGCCCTGACCGGGACTAGAACCTGGTGTGCTGGCGCCGCAAGGCGGAGGATTAGCCTAGTGAGCCGCGACGCTGGCCAGATTCATTTTTAATTAACTTTATACACAGAAGACCAACGCTATACTAAGTAAAGATTTCAACAATTTGAACCCCCCCACAAACCTGTTTGAGAACAAGTTTTACAGTTAATTCTCATAATACAACTCACTGAGGATAGAAGTCCTGCATGGGAAGTAAGTGTACAGTGACTTCTGTTGATAATGTAACAGTTAACACTCTTACGTATGACATCAGCGATCACTCAAGGCTTTTGACATGAGCTGCCAAGGCTATGGAAGCCTTTTAAATCCACAGTCTCCATCAGTATTTAGACAAGGCCATAAGCAAAGTGGAAGTTCTCTTCTTCCTCAGAGAAAAATACATTCTTCTTTGATGGCCACGTCTTTCCACTGGGGTCTCTCTCACAGAGATCCTTCATATAGAACATTTTTTTTTTTTTTGCCACAGTGTCTTGGCTTTCCATGACTGAAATGTTCTCATGGGCTTTTCAGCCAGACCAGAATGCCTTACAGGATGATTCTGAAGTCAGAGTGCTATTTAAAGCCATTGTCATTCTATGAGTTCTGCTGTGTGGACTGCTTCCCTATTGGAACATTCTCTTCTTCTTCTTTTTAATATTTTATTTATTTATTTGAGAGGTAGAGTTACAGACAGTGAGAGGAAGAGACAGAGAGAAAGGCCATCCTTCTGTTGATTCACTCCCCAAATGGCTGGAGCTGTGCTGATCTGAAGCTAGGAGCCAGGAGCTTCTTCCAGGTCTCCCACATGGGTGCAGGGGCCCAAAGACTTGGGCCATCTTCTACTGCTTTCCCAGGCCATAGCAAAGAGCTGAATTGGAAGAAGAACAGCCAGAACTAGAACCAGTGCCCATATAGATGCTGGCGCCGCAGGTGGAGGATTAACCTGCGCCATGGCACTGGCCCCCATTCTCTTCTTTTTGATTCTACCTATTATTATTACCAGACACTTGGCCTTAATTATTTGATCCCTTTAACACTTAATCCTATCTTTATGATTACTTTAACACTTAATGTGGTCACTTTAACACTTAAGATGGCATTTTTACACCCAGCCTAATGAGATTTGGAGTCCCATGACAAGTTTTTAAACTGTATCCCCTTAGAAGTAAGTCCATAGGAATGTATGAGAACTATACTGCTTTATGGTTACAAGCTTCCTCCTCACTCTCTTATTCCCACTCTTATTTTTTTTTTTTTTTTTTGACAGGCAGAGTGGACAGTGAGAGAGAGAGAGAGAGAGACAGAGAGAAAGGTCTTCCTTTTGCCATTGGTTCACCTTCCAATGACTGCAGGAAACCAGTATAAGCACCTGGCTCCCACTCTTATTTTTTTAATGAGATCCATCCTCAATGGACTTTATACACATAGGATTAATGTTACGTTAAGTAAAGAGGTCAGCAAATATTATAAAGAAGAGAAAAAAATGAAAAACAAAACAAAACCAAAAACCTGTTCCCCGACAGTCAAGACAATGGCTATTTAAGTTACTGTTTCTCGAAGTGTCAATTTGACTTCTACAGATCTCCTTTTAGGTGCTCTATTAGTTATCACAGATTGGGGAGAACATAAGATATTTGTCCCTTTGGGACTGGCTTATTTCACTAAGTATGATGTTTTCCAGATTCATCTATTTTGTTGCAAATGGCCGGATTTTGTTTTTTTAACTGATGTGTAGTATTCCATAGAGTACATATCCCATAATTTCTTTATCCAGTCTTCAGTTGATGAAAATTTAGGTTGATTGCATGTCTTAGCTATTGTGAATTGATGCACAGTAAACATGGGGATGTAGATGACTCTTATTTGCTGAGTTCATTTCCCTTGGGTTAATTCCCAGGAGTAGGATGGCTGGGTTCTATGCAAGGTCTATATTCAGTTTTCTGAAGTATCTCCAAACTGTCTTCCTAGTGGCTTTACCAGTTTGCATTCCCATCAACAGTGGATTCAGGTACCTTTCCCCCTACATCCTTGCCAGCATTGTTGGTTGTTGATTTCTGTATGAAAGCTATTCTAACTGGGGTGAGGTGAAACCTCATTGTGGCTTTGATTTGCATGTCCCTGATGGCTAGTGAACTTGAAAAATTTTTCATGTGTCTTTTGGCCATTTGGATTTCCTTTTTTGAAAAATGTCTGTTTGAGTCCTTTGCCCATTTCATCACTTCACTGAGTTGTTTGGTTTGTTGTTGTAGAGTTTCTTGATCTCTTTGTATATTCTGGTTATTAATCCATTATCAATTGCATAGTTTGCAAATAATTTCTCCCATTCTATTAGTTGCCTCTTCACTTTCCTGAGTGTTTCTTTAGCAGTACAGAAGTGTCTCAAATTGATGTAATCTCATTTGTTAATTTTAGGTTTGATTGCCTGTGCCTCTGGGGTCTTTTCCAAGAACTCTTTGCCTATGCTAATATCTTGCAGGGTTTCCTCAGTGTTCTCTAATAATTTGATGGTATCAGGTCATAGATTTATGTCTTTAATATATTTTGAATGGATTTTTGTGTAAGGTGTAAGGTAAGGAGTCCTACTTCATATTTCTGCATGTGGAGGAGGCTGACTGTCCTTGCTCCAGGGATTGATTTTAGCTCCTTTGGCAAATATAAGTTGGTTGTAGATGCTTGGATTGATTTCTGGCATTTCTGTTCTGTTCCACTGGCCTATCCATCTGTTTTTGTACCAGTACCAGGCTGTTTTGATTATAACTGCCCTGTAATATGTCTTGAAATCTAGTATTGTGATACCTCCAGCTTTGTTTTTTGTTGTATAAGATTGCTTTAGCTATTCGAGGTCTTCTGTGTTTCCATATGAATTTCAGCATCATTATTTTTAGATCTGAGAAGAATGTCTTTGATATTTTGATTGGTATCACACTGAATCTGAAAATTGCTTTTGGAAGAATGGACATTTGATGACACTGATTCTTCCAATCCATGAACATGGAAGATTTTTCTATTTTTTTGTGTCTTCTTCTGTTTCTTTAATGTTTTGTAATTCTCATCATAGAGATCTTTGACATCCTTGGTTAAATTTATTCCAAGGTATTTGATTTTTTTTTTTGTAGCTCTTGTGAATGTGATTGACATTAGAAGTTATTTCTCAGCCATGTCATTCATTGTCTTTGTATACAAAGGCTGTTGATTTTTGTGAATTGATCTTATATCCTGTTACTTTACCACACTCTTCTATGAGTTTCAATAATGTCTTGGTGGAGTCTTTCGGATCCCCTATATATAGAATCATGTCATCTGCAAATAGGGATAGTTTGACTTCCTCTTTACCAATTTGTATCCCTTTGATTTCTTTTTCTTCCCTAATGGCTGTGGCTAAAACTTCCAGGGAGGAAGGGAGAGAGGAAGGGAGGGAGGGAGGCAGAGAGGGAGGGAGGGAGGAAGAGAGGGAGGCAGAGAGGAAGAGAGGGAGGCAGAGAGGGAGGCAGAGAGGGAGGGAGGGAGGGAGGGAGGAAGAGAGGGAGAGAGAAAGAGAGAGAGAAAGAAAGAAAGTCTTCCATCTGCTGGTTCACTCCCCAAATGACTGCAATGGCCAGAGCTGAGCCTATCCAGAGCCAGGAGCCAGGAGCCTCTTCCGGGTCTTCCACGTGGGTGCAAGGGCCCAAGAACTTGGGCCGTCTTCCACCACTTTCCTAGGCCATAGCAGAGAACTACATAGGAAGTGGAGCATCCAGGCCTCAAACCGGCGCCCATATGGGATGCCAGCGCTGCAGGCTGGGGCTTTAACCTGGCCCCTTCCTTTGTACTTTTACTGGGCGATTTCTTTCCTTTACCTTCTTTCATAGTGATAACCATGTTCCTGTGTTTCTGTGTGCAGCACATCCTTAAGCATCTTCTGCAGGGCTGATGGATGGTGACAAATTCTTTCAATTTCTGTTTGTCATGGAAGGTCTTTATTTCACCTTCATTCACAAGCAAGAGCTTTGCAGGGTATAGTATTCTGGATTAACGGTTCTTTTCTCTTAAGACTTGGAATATATCTTGCCATTCTCTCCTAGCCTTTAGGGATTCTGATGAGAAGTCTTCTGTGAGTCTAATTGGAGATCCTCTGAAGTAATCTGGCATTTCTCTTGTGGACATTTTAGAATCTTTTCTTTATATTTTACCATGAAGAGTTTGATTACAATGTGTTATGGCAAATATCTTTTCTGATCATGTCTATTAGGAGTTCTATGTGCTTCCTGTAGTTGGATATCTTTCTTTCTCCAAATTAGGGATTTTTCTGTTATTATTTCACCTAAAAGGCCTCCTAATCCTTTCTCTCTTCCCACGTCTTCAGGAACTCCTAGAGCCCATGTGTTGGGTCATTTGATAGTATCCTGTAGGTTACCGACAGTGTTTTGTAGTTTTCTTATTTTTTCTTCTTGTATTTCAGCTGACTATATAATTTCCTGAGCTTTATTTTCTAAGTTGGATATTCTTTCTTTTGCTTCACCAATTCTGTTGTTAAGGCTTTCTGCTGCATTTTTTATTTGTTCTATTAAATTCTTCATTTCCAAGATTCCATTTTGATATCTCTTTAAGATCTCAATTTCGTGGGAGAAATTTTCTTTCATGTTATATATGGATTTTGTTAGTTTGTGGATTTGCTTCTGATTACTTCTAAGTAATTCTATGATCAATTTTTTGAATTCCATTTCTGTCATTTCTTCAGTCTCATCATCTTCACAATCTAGTATTGAAGTGTTGTGTTCTTTTGGGGCATCATGTTGTCTTTCTTAATCTTACTTCTTGAATGGTTATGTTTGCTTTTTGGCATTTGTGGAGATACTCCTTGGTTTCTTCTTTGCTTTTTTGCTGTGGTAGCTTTTATCTTTGGATTATGTCTGAGTGGATTAGTGAAGTGTCTGCTTTCAGGGAATACCTAGAGGCGTGTGGTAGGTATGGCCAAGGAGCTCTGTTCAGTGTTTCCAGGGTGAAGGGTGTGTCTGTGGTTATACACCCAAGTTTGCTGTGGTAAATCTCTCTCTCTCTCTCTCTCTCTCTTTTTTTTTTTTAAATCAGAGGGAGGTTTGTTCTTGTCTGTTGGTGTAGACTCAGCTGAGCTCCTCTCCTCAAATGAGACGAGTGCCTGGGCGCTAGCCCCAGTGGGTATATTATTCATCTGCTCTGCCTCAAGGACCATGCAAAGGATCTATGCAGTCCTTAGTGTAAGTTCAGATTCCCCAGCAATGTCCCTTGCCAGGTAACTGGGAAGCCCTGATCATGTGGAGTCTCCCACAGTGACTGCCCAAAATCCCAGCCACACCCTGAATCCTCCCGTGCAGCCTCAGTTTTTTCACAGTCCTGGCACACAAGCCTCCCACAGTCACCAGCACCCAGCCCATCTCTTCTCCCTACCAGACTCAGGAGTCTCTGGCTGGCAGCTGGGTGCAGACATGAGCTGGTCATGCCCAAAATAGCACCTGCCTCTCTATCAACTTGTTACAGGACGCTGTTGCAGGGTGATAGGGGAGAGAGAGAACTGCTGCCCCCCAGCCCCCCCCTCTTTGTTTTTCCTCATCTAGTTTGGCAGGTACACTGTCCCCCACAGGGCTCCAAGCTGGATTCCCTCTAGGTTCTTCCTGCAGCTTTTTTGCCAGTGTTCTTGGGCTGCTGCAGTCTGGTCTCACCTGATTCTCCAATGCTGGTGCGGAAGCTCTCGGGTGCTGGGTCCTGAGTTGTGTGTGTACTTGCACTCCTCGTAGGTCCACTGTGTCCCTCCAATTTGTGTGGTTTCCTCTGCTCTTTTCTCTGTAACTCTTCCCTGAATCTGCGCTTTCCACTTTTTAAAAACTATCTTCTAAAGATAATTGAAAATGAATCTTGATGAAGAATGGGATGGGAAAGGGAGTGGGAGATGAGATGGTTGTGGGTGGGAGGGAGGTTATGGGGGGAAAAACGCCGCTATAATCCAAAAGTTGTACTTTGGAGATTTATATTAAATAAAAGTTAAAAAAAAAACAAAAACAAAAACAACCCTATCTTTTCCAAGACTAGAGCAGCAAGCTCCCTCTTTAAACTGCCATTTTGAGTAATCTGAAAATATTTTCTTCATTTAATGGTGTATTATGAACATTTCCTCATGATTAATGATTCTATATGGTAATTTCGAGCGACTGAATCATCATCCCTGCCTAGATATACAACAGAATTATCTAACCTTTCATCTGTGTTGGACATTAACTTTAATTCCAATTTTTTCTTACCATAAATAGCATTGTACATCATCTGTATACATAATTTTTGCAAAGATTCCTAAAATTGTAATTATGGACTTAAAAGGAACATATTGTCAAACCTCTTTTGGGAAAGAAGATTTCAGTTTATATCCTCATTAAGGATTCTTGTTAGCTTTGATATTGACAGTATGTTTCTCAGCTTGAAATATTACTTTTGCCTTTGCTACTTTGAGTCCTGGAACTGATATTTTCTAAATAAAAGAGTGAATAATTAGGAAATTGGTAGAATTGTTTTGTTGAAAATCACAAAATTTCTTAGTGTTTCAATCTGAATTTAGAATACTAGTTTAATGTTTATAGACAAAAATTAAGCAGTCAGTAAGTGACCAGTACATATTGTGTATTGTGTTTGAAAAGATGGTAATTCTCTCTCTCACTTAGTTTAAAAAGCAGATTATTGAATGTCTAAATAAGAGTCCCAGTGTGGATCACTTGTTGTCCATTAAGAAGACATTGAAAGGCCTGAAAGCTCGACTGAGATGGAAATTGGTTGAAAAGAGTAATTTGGAAGAGGTAAGGAAACAGTTGTTTCTTACTGAATTCTGCATGAAACTTACATTATTTGGGCTCTGTTTTGAGAAAGTAGTGTTTAAATGTACTCTTTAAGGTAAGAGAACCATTGCAGTCATATTTTGCTTTATATACATTTTTGTCTTCATATGTGAATAAAATTGAGATTATATTAATAAGATAAACATTTTTCCACTTCATTAAATGTTCTTTGAAAGCATTTTACCTGGCTACTTTTTTGTTTTAAAGATTTATTTATTTATTTATTTATTTATTTGGAAGGCAGCATTACAGAGAGACAGAGGCAGAGAAAGAGAGAGAGGGAGGTGAGGGGGGTCTTCTATCTGCTGGTTCACTCCCCAAACAGCTGCAATGGCTGGAGCTGATTCAGTCAGGAGCCAGGAGTTTCTTCCGGGTCTGTCACATGGGTACAGGGGCCCATGGACTTGGGCCATCTTCTGCTGCTTTCCTAGGCACATTAGCATGGAGCTGAATTGGAAGTGGAGCAGCTGCAACTCGAACTGGTGCCCATATGATGCTGGCATGGTTTTACTCTCTATGACACAGTGCCGGCACCAACTATTTTGATATTTGGAAACATAAATATTTTAGAATAATTTTAAAGACTCTTCTGGTTTGGGCATTTTAATGTCTTTGAAGATATAAAACTACTACATTCTCCAGAGGTAGGGTTTGTTAAAGTATTTTTAAGATGCTGGTATATTGGCTGGCGCCACAGCTCAATAGGCTAATCCTCTGCCTGTGGCACCGGCACACCAGGTTCTAGTCCCGGTCGGGGTGCCGGATTCTGTCCTGGTTGCCCCTCTTCCAGGCCAACTCTCTGCTGTGGCCTGGGACGCTGGCCGCGGCGGCCATTGGAAGGTGAACCAACGACAAAGGAAGACCTTTCTCTCTGTCTCTCTCTCACTAACTCTGCCTGTCAAAAAAAAAAAAAAAAAAAAAAAAAGATGCTGGTATATTTTGTTAAATCTCTTTTGATGGCTGAATGTATTTCTTTCAAGTATTTAAAAATTTTTTTCGTATGATAATAGAGCTGGAGGGGATAGGGTGCTCTAATCTGGGCTAACTTCCTTCCTTAAGCGTGGAATTTTGTGTATCTACTGGGAATCTGTGGGGTTCGTTTGTAGATTTGATTTATGGGAAGAAGGAATCTATATTATGTCTTAACCCACATTGATCTCTCTTCTTCTGAGTACTTCATTAGGAGTGGAGTTGTGATTATCTTAGAACAAGTATCATACTCAAGAGGTTTCTAGTTTATCCTATCTTTAAAAAAATATTTATTTTTTTGAAAAAGTAACAGAGAAGGAGAAGCAGAGAAAGAGAGAGAGAAAGATTGAGAGATCTTCATTGTCATCTGCTGGTTTTCTCCCCAAATGGCTGCAACGGTCAAGAGTAGACCAGGCTGAAGCTAGAAGCCAGGAGTTTCATCCAAGTCTCCAACATATTTTAGGGGCCCAAGGACTTGGGCCATCTTCCACTACTTTCCCGGGTGCTTTAGCAGGGAGCTGGATCAGAAGTGGAGCAGCTAGGACTCTAACCGGTACCTGTATGGGATGCCAGCAGTACAGGCAGTGGCTTTACCTGCTATACCATAGTGCTGGTCCCTCCTATTCTTTAGTGTAATTTTTCAAATCTTGAGGAATATACATTCAACTTTTTTTTTTTTTTTTGGACAGGCAGAGTTAGTGAGAGAGAGAGACAGAGAGAAAGGTCTTCCTTTTCCGTTGGTTTACCCTCCAATGGCCGCTGTGGCTGGCGCACCAAAGCCAGGAGCCAGGTGCTTCTCCTGGTCTCTCATGTGGGTGCAGGGCCCAAGTACTTGGGCCATCCTCCACTGCACTCCCGGGCCACAGCAGAGAGTTGGCCTGGAAGAGGGGCAACAGGGACAGAATCCGGTGCCCTGACCGGGACTAGAACCCAGTATGCTGGCGCTGCAAGGCGGAGGATTAGCCTAGTGAGCCGCGGCGCCAGCCTACATTCAACTTTTAAAGCATACATACCTTTTAAGGGGGTTCTTTATTAAAATGCTGTTGGAGTTTCATCGAATTTGTGAATATACATAATCTGGAAGGTTATTTTACACATTGGACTCATCCTGTTTGTTTCTTTTGTTTTTTTCACCAAATATTATATAAAAATTCTAGAGAATTTAGTTGTATTCTGGTTATTTTTCTTAGCATTTTACTCAGTGTTTGCAGTTAACCATTTCTATCTTAAAGAAAATCTATAGCAAATTAAGGGACAATAAAAATCTATGTAGTTGATTTTAGGTCTTTATTTTCCATAATTTCTTTTTGTAGGTTTGGAAAAGCCAGTGTTAGCATTGTTTTACATTAATTCAGCAGAGTTCCGTGGGTCTGTTGTGTGCTGGTATTGAAGGAAGTGTAGAGCTCACACAGTGATGTATTATAGGTGTTGCACTGCTGCTTGTAAGAAAACTTGTTTTTATTCTATTTTAATAAACCTGTCAAACCACTTTTTCCTCCTGATTAAAGTCTGATGACCATGATGGATCCGAAATTGAGAAAATAAAACGAGAAGTAATTCAGTTGCGCAACAGTGTTTTTCAGGAAATTTATCATGAGAGGGAAGAGTATGTAAGTATTTGATTTTTTGAAGTTTTAAATTGGGTTTTACCATAGAAATTGAAGATCCATTTTATGAATTTTTTTGACTATATTTGCAAGGCTAGAGGTGTTATGTTGGCTAATGTTTGTTTAAAATTAAAAATTTCTGATAAGAAAATAATTCATGACCATTGTACCAATGTGGAAATTACAGAAAGTTAAAAAGAAGAAAAACACACTTCAAAAACATTGTGTAGCTTTCCCATGAGGTGGTAACAGTGGTAATCACTGTTAACTCTTGATTTTTATAACCTTTTGTTCTGCTTGTTTTTAGAATTGACATTAGAGCACTCTTTGCTATACTGCTCTTTCCATTTAATATAAAGGCTGAAATGTTACCCTAATAGAACACAATACTTTGTATAATGTTGCCGTGAAAACATTAATGGAATAGAATAGTTCAGTTGAAGACTGTAACAAAATAAAAATATGTGGCTTTTGAGGGATCAGTTACATCTTTAAGTTTCCATTCTATTGCTGATTTTTGTGACCCTGAATCAGGTGTCATGTGTCATCTCTTTAATTGGAAAGAAAATTATATTTTATGTCCAAAGGATGTAATGGGGAAGTAGTTAGCTAAGAAACAGTGCTTTGAAAATGAAAAAATATTATGAAAATAATAGGCATTTTAAGTGTTATAGATTGTCTAGCAAACTCATCTGAGTATAATACCTTATGAACCTTTGGATAAAATTTGACAGGTATCTAGAAGTTTCCTTAATAAATGTGATAGATTATTTCTCTTTTGTAAGTCTTCTCAGTTTTCACATTTGCTTTAAAGTGACTTATGTGGAGGTATATATTATTTTTTTATCTCAAAGTTTTTGTTCTGTTTTTGTTTCTAAAATTAAGCAGCCATTATTTAGAAGTGGTTTTGCAGTCTTAATTTTAATAATGATGACAATGTTGTGATCAAAATTGATGTATTACCACAATTTTTCACTTCAGTTTGGAAGTGAGTATGGGCTTTGACCTTAGCAGGATTTGTCTTTATTTGTGTAAAGTTGTTCTTCAGTTTGTATGATGGTAATTTAGATCTAAGGTTACTCTTGTGTTTCACTGGTATTTCTGGAATTAAAAGCCAAAATGTTTGAGAGTACTTAAAAAAATTCATGGAAGTGGCTGATGTTGTGGTACTGCAGATTAAGCAGCCCTCTGTGACACTGGAATCTGTGTTGGAGTGCCAGGAGTCCCCGCTGCTCTGCCTCTGATCCAGCTGCCTCCTAATGTACCTGGGAAAACAGTGGATGATGGCCCAAGTACTTGTGTCCCTACTGCCCACATAGGAGACTCATAGTTCCTGACTTCTGGCTTCAGCCTGGTCTGGAGGTGGCTATTGAGACTATTTTCAGGGTGAACCAATGGAAGTGAAGTGTCTACCACTCTGTCTCTTTTTTTCTCTCTGTCACTTTGCCTTTTGAATAAATAAATTAGTGAAAAGTGGAATTAAAAGATAAATTTATTTTGGTGCAAAAATATTTTGAAATATGTGTGTGTATATATATATATATATATATATGCATAGTTTTTTCATAGTGTTCATTTTCCATCAACTTAAAAGTAGTTATTTGGGAAGCAGAGAGAGAGGAGGGAGACAGAGAAAAAGGGTAGGGGAGAGGGAGACAGAGAGATCTCCCATTATTGGTTCATACCCCAAATGCCCAAAATAATCAGGGTTTGTCCAGAGCTGAAGTCAGGATCCAACCCAATCCATGCCTGTCATGTGGGTGGCAGAACTCTATCAAATACGCCCTCACTGCTGCCTCCCAGGGCCTTCATTGACAGGAAGATTAGCAGCCAGTGCTACTTCACTGTGGGACACGGCCATCTTAACAATTAGGCTTATTGCCTGGCCCTTTCCTTGAAGTTTTTGAAGATTCCTTGTATTTTGTTAGATATGTAGTAAGGAGGATGCTGTTAGGTTTTCCTGCAGGGCAACATGTAACAGTTGAATATATATTGAATGTGTTTCTTAACTTTAGGAGAAACTGAATAGCTTGGCACAAAAATGGTTTCCTGAACTGCCTCTGCTTCATCCTGAAATAGGATTACTTAAGTACATGGTAAGCTTTGTTTCCTTTGATAATTACTACTCTGTGGAGAGTATTGAGAAGTGATGATGTTAATTATGTTAATTTTACAGTATCCTTTCTATAAAATTATTCTCAAAGAATGTTTTTGAGTATTATGAGGACATTTCTCAAGACTATCTTTACAAGTTGCATAGTATATCTGTTTTTGAAATTTTTATGTTAATCAGCAATTATTTTGGTATTTTTCTCTTTTTCCACATCATTTAATACACTGCATGACACGTACTTGAATTATAGGTATTATTTGAATGGCTGTAATACAAAGTTTCAACTGCTGTTTATTAGGATAAAAGCAGGATACGACTGGCCATGAAGAATTTAAGTGCAAGGTGTCTTCTAAGTTAAAGCTGGCTCTGTAATCACTCTGGAACAGTTGGTTAAAGTGGAAAAGTTGAGGTGGAGATGCTGTTCCAGGCAGATGGCGTTTAAAGGCTGGGAGATCAGCATGCTAGGCAGGGTTGAGCTGCAAAGGCAAATTGGCTCTGGAGGAGAATCTGTTAGCCCTGGGTTTGTGTTGCTTGCTGCAGATGAGCAACTTGATGAGGTGCAGTTGTCCCTCAGTAGTTATCTAGGGGAGGACTGGTTCCAGGATCCCCTGGAAATACCAGCACCTGCCATGCTCAAGCCCTTACATAAAATGCATGAATGCATATAGTCTACTCATATCCTTCCTTTTTTTTAAAAAAAAAAATTTTATTTATTTATTTTAAAGACAGAGTTACAGAGAGGTAGAGGCAGAGCCAGAGAGCGAGAGGTCTTCCGTCTAGTCGTTCACTCCCCAAATGGCTGCAACAGCTGGAACTGCGCTAATCCAAAGCCAGGAGCTAAGAGCTTCTTCTGGGTCTCCCATGTGGGTGCAGGGGCCCAAGCATTTAGGCCATCTTCCACGACTTTCTCAGGCCGCAGCAGAGAGCTGGATCAGAAGTAGAGGGGCCAGGACCCCAACTGGCACCCACATGGGATGCTGGCACTGCAGGCGGTGGCTTTACCTGCCATGCCACAATGATGGCCCCTCCATTTTCTTTAAATCATCTCTAGATTACTTAAATTACTCCCTACGATGTAAATGCTTGTTACAATGTAAGTAATTGTTATTCAGTATTGTTTAGGGAATGATAACAAGGAAAAAAGTTTATGCTTGTTCAGTAAGATAGAATAAAAATATTTTTGATTTGCAGTTTGTTGAAACTACAGTTGCAGAACCCACAGATAAAGACTGAAATTCCTCACTAAGATTGTCACTAAGCCCATGAGAATAGCTTACAGAAAGGAGTGTTCATGTAAACATATGGGCTTATCCTCATAAATATGTAGCACTAGGGTTCCTACAGTTAAATAATGACTGTAAAGTCTTTCTAGACTTGTCTTTAAGATGATGTGAGTTTTTCCTTGCAATTATTTAACTGTAGCTTAAAGACTCATGTCATATGGGTAAGTGAATATGTACAGCCATATAGGACTTGAAAATTAAATTTTATAAATATGCTAATGGCTTTTATTATAGAAGATTATAAAAGATTTGAGTCATGGCTTATGGAAGCCTTTAACGGTTTTAAGATATTTAACTGTGATGTAGGCTTAAGAATCCTTTGTAGGTTGATTATATATTGTGTATTACTTAAATATACTAACACTTTAAAGAACTGGAAGACATCCTACAACCTTTCTTAATAAAACTACTCTGCAGTAAAACTTACCTTGATTTAAAATGTAAAAAAAAGTTGACTATCAGATATTATTAGTGTGTGAAATTACTCGTTTTAAGAATGACAGAAGTATCTAGTAGAATTAGAATATTTGAAAACCATTTCACTTTTTTTTCAACTCATGAAGAAAAACTTTAATTGCTGCTGCAAAACTCTTTGAAGTAGAAGTTGGTTGCAATAGCATCAGTAGAGAATATACTCTGGAAAGTGGAGGTAACTGGTTGTAAGATCCTGTAGCCAGGTAATGGGATAGTTCAGATGGTAAAGGCCAGGCCAACACCTAATGAGGGAAGCTTTGTTTGAGGGGGAATTTTGGACGGTATTTGCAGAAAATACATAAGATACATAAATCAAGTTGTTTTCACAAGTATTGTAAAATTTCGTGTAGTAAGATTTTTTTCTGCATGCACTTAAGTTTCATAGCAGGAGTGGCATAGAATATCTAAACATAGAAGAGAATGCTCATGCAAGATATCTAACTCCTTAATACAGTAATCATACAACTCAAAATGATTCCACTGTCATTACACCTTGAGCTTTGTGCAACCACAAGCTGGTGGTTATGGAAAGCAAGGCTCCTATTTCAGCATCTAAAAAGTAGCCACCTCCTTCTCTGTGTGTTCTCTTTTTGCATTGTTTCCTCATTTCTGGTCACTCTGCTGTTGGAGCTGCTTAGTGAAACTAGTAAAAACAAAATTGTGATCATTGAATTTAGCACTCTGGCAATAAAGATGTTTAAAACTGTCATTCTTCTTGGGTGAGGAAAGCACTGTGTGACATTTAGAACTCTGGTTAACAAACAGGGCAGTCACACACTTCCCTGGCTTGATGACTTTCACAGCTCTCCCGATCAGGTCATCATAGCAGGTGCTAACATAAGAGCATTCTGGTTCTGGAGAGTTGTGAATTGTCTAGTAAGTTCCACCTGATTTCATTCCATTCATCGAATACTGACAAGGATTGAGCAGTGTGGCATCAATGACAGAACAGGTATCCATCATGAATTCCACTCTCACTAGTGATGTCCTCTGAGAGTAACACCGTCTTTCACGGTCCGTGACTGCTGGGTCAGGCTCACTCATCAGAGTCACCAGGGTTTGATCCTGCTGGCTGATTACTAGACTCTCTGGGAAATCTAGAAGATATAATTGCCAACAGTCAGAGTTCTTATGTTCCATACAGTATACAGCTCCATTTGGGAATATTGCATGAAACAGCTCTGTTTCTTCCTGGAAATTCCGATGTGGGTGTCATTGGTGAGAGGCCTCATGAAATTCTTAAAAGACTAAAGGAAGCTTTGAACTGAGTCAAACCCTCTGTCATCCCTAGCAAGCTTCAGTAAGGGAACCGGTGCTTTCAGCAAGAGGTGGCACTTGTCTTCAAACTGAAACTATTCTTGGAGACAGACATGCTACTTTGACTGAGTGTGTAAGCTTCCTGCTTTTCAGTTTTTGTTATCCTGAGGATAAATCATTGCATGTCCTTCAAAATTCTGTCCCACTCAGATCTTGGGGTAGTGCAAAGATCCCCAGATCCTTGGTTGCAGCCAGGAAAATCAAACTTCTAACAGCTTCTCTGTCCCTTTGAAAAAATGTGCAGCTGGGGTCGGTGCTATGGCATAGGGGGTAAAGCCGCTGCCTGCAGTGCCGGCATCCCATATGGGTGCCGGTTCGAGACTCGGCTATTCCCCTTCTGATCCAGATCTCTGCTATGGCCTGGGTAAGCAGTAGAAGATGTCCCAAGGCCTTGGGCCCCTGCACCCTCATAGGAGACCTGGAAGAAGCTCCTGGCTTCAGATTGGCGCAGCTCCAGCCATTGTGGCCATCTGGGGAGTGAACCAGCAGATGGAAGACCCCCCCCCCCACCTCTCCTTCTCTCTCTCTGTATAACTGTGACTTTCAAGTAAAATAAGTAAATCTTTAAAAAAAAAGAAGAAGAAGAAATGTGCAGCTTCCATCACTGTGAGACTCGCAAAAACCTATCAACCACAGTAAATCAACTAAATTAAATCTCTTCTCCTACTGCCCCTGCTACTGCTGTGGATTGTTCCAGCTCTGTTACTGACATTCAGATTCCTCTGTGTGTGTGTGTGTGTTTCTGAAAATTAAATGTGATTGTGTTAGAAAAAGTAGCAAATATAGTTTAGTCTTTTGTGCTCGCTGCTTTCCCGTTAGAGAGTTGAGCAAACATTATCTAATGGCCCATTTTCACTACTGCAAGCATTTTCTTTTTTTTTTTAAGATTTTATTTTATTTGAGAGGTAGAGTCACAGACAGTGAGAGGGAGAGACAGAGAGAAACATTTTCTGTCCGTTGGTTCACTCCCCAAATAGCTGCAACGGCCTGAGGTGCGCCGATCCGCAGCCAGGAGCCAGGTGCCTCTCCCCCACCCCCCACTCCGGTCTCCCACACCGGCACAGGGGCCCAAGGACTTGGGCCATCCTCCACTGCTCTCCCAGCCCATGCAGAGAGCTGGACTGGAAAAGGAGCATTCAGCATTTGGGACCAGAACCAGTGCCCATACGGGATGCCGGCACCACAGGTGGAGGATCAACCTACTGCGCCATGGCGCCGGCTCTCTGCAGACATTTTCAAGCTGAGGCAGAGGTGTTAGAATTATTTCATAGTAGGCTGGCACTGCGGCTTTATAGGCTAATCTTCCGCCTGTGGCACTGGCACACAGGGTTCTAGTCCCAGTCGGGATGCCGGATTCTGTCCCGGTTGCTCCTCTTCCTGTCCAGCTCTCTGCTGTGGCCCGGGAAAGCAGTGGAGGATAGCCCAAGTGCTTGGGCCCTGCACCCCATGGGAGACCAGGAGAAGCACCTGGTTCCTGGCTTTGGATCAGCACGGTGCGCCAGCTGCAGCAGCCATTGAGGGGTGAACCAACAGAAAAGAAAGACCTTTCTCTCTGTCTCTCTGTCTCTCACTGTCCACTCTGCCTGTCCAAAAAAAAAAAAAAAAAAAAAAAGAATTACTTCATAGTAAAAATAATTTTATATTTTTCATTCTCATTTTACAACTGCTTTTTTATTTGTCATCATTTTACTATATTTAGGAAACATGAAGTATTTTTAGTTTTAAAAATTATTTAAAACTTTGATTATTGTGTAATATTTGAACACTTTTATGGAGTGCAGTGCACTATTTCAGTACATGTACACAGCATGAACCATTCAAACTAGGCTACCAGTTTTTCCATTTTCTTTTCTTTTCCTTGGCTTTGGAACCTACCAGCTCCTCTCCTTCAGTTACTGTTCTTTCTTAAAGATTTATTCATTTATTTATTTATTTGAAAGGCAGAGTGATGGGGAAAAGGGGGAAGGGAGGGGAGGGGAGGAGAGGAGAGGAGGAGAGATGAGATAGTCTATCGTCTGCTGGCCACAACAGCCAGCTCGGCCGGGCTGAAGCCAGGGGCTCAGAACTCATCCTGGCCTCCTATGGGATGGCAGGAACCCAAGTGTTTGGACCATCATCTGCTGCTTTTCCAGGCATATTAGCAAGAAGCTGGATCAGAAGCGCAACAGTTGGGACTTAAACTGGCATTCTGATATGGAATGCTGGCATAGCAGTTGGTGGCTTAACCTGGTGCACCATGCCTGCCCCTTCTCCAGTTCTTTACACAAAATACAATGCATTATTGTGAATTATAGTCACCCCACTGTGCTGTGGAACCGGTAGAACTTGTTTGTTCTGTCTGACTTTGGTACCTATTATCTGACCTCCCTCTGTGCCCCTGCTGCCAACCTTCCCAGCCTATAGTAATTCTCTAAGTTCAGATCAACAATTTTTTAATCTTCCATGTATGAGGGAGAACATACAGTATTTGTCTTTCTGTGTCTGGCTTATTTTACTTAACATAATGACCAAAGGGAGCTTTCTCAAACTTTAGGGTTGCTTGGAAGCACATCTGGTTATGCTCAGTCATCTCTTGAGTGTGTTCTAGAACTGTAGCTGCCATTACAGGTATGGTGATTATACTTTGAGCAGGAGGGGTTCAAGAGCCAGGAACTGGAAAAAAAAATAGAAAATGTCAAACATTTTAATATTTACTGGTTTCTTTAGGAAAGTTGATGACGGCTAGTCCATCTGATAGCATGTAATGCACTGTGCTGATAATTTAGAGGTACCACGATGGTTTGCATTACTCAAGTGTAATAAAAACTTGTGCCTAGAACTCTGGGGGTCTTCTTACTATGAGCTTGGAACGTGATCTTCTTGATGCTGAACCAATGAAGGAACTTAGCAGCAAGCGTCCTTTGGTGTGCTCTGAGATTAATGGGCAGGTAATTCTTTTAAAGGTAAGTCTGAGTTCCTCTGATTGGTGGGAGATACAGAGGTACAGTGGGAGTTAGGGTGTGGCTTCTTAGGAAAGAATAACAGCTCAGTAGTCTGCTGAAGTATGTGAGTTGACTGGTGTAGTGCTCGTGCTTCCAGTCTGCTTGCCAGGTCTAATTTTGACTTTAAAGTTTCCCTCATTTCACTAGATGGTGTTTGTCTTTAGTGGGGTATGCTCACTTTCCTTTGGACAGACTTACTGCATTCTATTCAGTAGCCTTTAAAAATGCTTGCTTTTGTTGGATTTCTCTTTGAAATTTCAGCTGTGTTGCCAACACAGACTTACACTACTCCTTGTCATTGTTCTGAAACTGTTAATCTTGATTGTAGGATAAATACGTTGGCCCTAGTTGCTACCCATTCTAGAAGATATTGTAAGCTACACGTAGAAATTTTATTTTTCCTTTTCAAGTTACAACATTCAAAGCCAATAGAAAAAGTACTTATAAACTTTTTAAAAATAAAATTAAATGTAATTTAACTTACATAAAATCATTTCTTACATTTAACCTGAAAAGGTGAATAATTAGGAATTTTTAACTTTGTGATTACCTCTTATTTTGGTAAAAGGGCTATTCTGTGGATGTTGACACAGAAGCCAGGGTGATTCGGAGAGCAGCCACCTACCACAGAGCCTCGAGAGATGCTAAAGAGGAGTCCGGGCTGCTGCCCCTGAAATTCTTGTTCTTGTGTAAGGTAAAGTTCTTATCTCTTTATCTCTTTACATCTCTTGAAGGAAATTTTTTAAAAAAATAAATTTTAACTTCAAATTTTAGAGCAGTGATTGATTCTTTTTTGTATAAACAAAAACTACTATATATGGAATCAATGTATCCTAAAAACGTGTTGAATAATCTTTGCCTTTGAGTCACATTCTCTGTTTCCATCTTAGTCAGATCCTATGGCGTATCTGGTGGTTCCGTACTATCCTCGGGCAAACCTGAGTGCTGTTCAGGCTAGCATGCCTTTAACTTCAGATGTAAGTAAAACACTCTTTCAACACATGTGGTCAGTGAGAAATAACTCCTCATGCACACTGCATGCTCTACTGTAGCAGTTTGACTTGTGTTATTCTATTTGTCACATCAGTCCTGTGATAGGAGTTATCCTGTTATGCAAATGAGAAAAAATGAGGCTTAAAGGGATTGACTTGCAGAGGGTCCCTTGGCCAGAGGCAGAATAAGCACTTGAAATTAGATCTTTCTGATTGTAGAACCCAAGCTCACAGCAGTTGAGCTGTGCTATATGCACATTGTCTAAAACAGCACTAGCTATTAAACGAGGGCTTTTCAAAAAGGTTCATGGAATACGTGCATTATCTTTCATTTTGATTTTTCCACTAACTTTTTGAAGTATTCTTTGTAAGTGCTTAAGTGGCAGTTTTAATTCTTACCACCGCAGATTTAGAATTAATTAATAACAATAAAGGAAGAATGATTCTTCCTCCCTAGTAACATGATTTCAGTCTCTTCTTTCCTGGCTGCTTCACATGGTTTTTTATAATCTGTCTCCTGAGAGATTGAAGAATATATATATATATATATATATATATTTATCCAAATGAATGCATATATGTACATGTGTGAATTATGTGCACAAACACACATCACCAGTTGTATAATCAAGGCTTCACCTGGCCTTAAATTATCTCTCTATGCTGTATTATTACTAAAGGTTTGTTTGGAGCAATCTGCCGAATAGCTGTTCCAAGTCTGGAACATTTTGAAGTTAAAGAGGTTCATGTGTTAACAGGATTTACCCATTTCCCGATTTCTTGTGTGTGCACGTCTTTGCAGGAAGCATTAAAGGTCATGAAGGGCGTTGCCCAGGGCCTCCACACATTGCACAAGGCTGACATCATTCATGGATCCCTTCATCAGAACAACGTGTTTGCTCTAAACCGTGAGCAAGGAATTGTTGGAGATTTTGACTTCACCAAATCTGTGGTATAATATCATGGTTTTACAAATAGGTTTTAGACTTCATTTAATTTTACTAGGCAATAGTTCAGTGCTTACATGTAATATGGTAGTGTATTATAATTTCTTATAGCATCGATGCCTTCAGTTAAGGAGTATCTTATAGTGTCAATAGCTTTCTGCTGTCAGGTAGGTGCTGGAACAAGAGTTTCCAGGTTTAAGTCTTCTATATTCTGACCCAAGTCTTAGGAGCACCTGCCGTTACACTCACTGGCATTGGTAGCATTCACTGTTGCTTGTTTCTTCATCAGGAAACATTCCGTCAGTACGAAATAACTCAGAGAAACTCGGTGGTCCTCTCCCTGCCTTCTCCTGCTGGTGTCATCCTTTTTTCTCAGTGATTAAACTTAAATATAAGTTGCTGTTTTTTGGTCAAGAATAAACACTTTTAGAAACCTGGGAACTATAGATTTTTCCATTCAGTTCAAGTCTTGGCTGAACTTCGATGACTGTTATTTGGTGCCATATTACCTCCAAATAGGAAATTTACCGAGGTAGCAAAAATCAGACAATTAAAGAGTATATTGTCAAATTTTGTTTTTTGGTAAAATGGTTAACCTCAAAACATACATGATCACATGGAGCAATTTCCTATTTATCTGACAAATAGGAATTTATATATATATATATAGTGTATAATATGTTTTGGGATACATATATAATTATGGAATGGATAATCCTTTAAAAGTAACAACTTCATTGAGATATAATTCACATAAAGTGTACAACTCAGTAGCATATTTATAAAGTGTTGCATTGGTCACCACTGTCTAGTTCCAGAACTTTATCATTCCCAAAAATAAGCTCCATAATGATTAGTAGCCACTCCCCTATTCTCCCTCTCCCTAGGCCTTGGAAATCATTGATACATTTTCTGTTTCTATGAACTTGTATGTTCTAGATATCCCATATAAATGGAATCATATAATATATAGCCTTTCATGAATGGCTCATTTTACTTAGCATAGTGTTTTTGAAGTTATCCATGTTATAGCATGGATCAGAACACCATTTATTTTTATGGCTAAATTGTATTTAATTGTATGGCTGTACCACAGTTTGCTTATGTATTCATCAGTTGATGAATATTTGGGTTGTTTACATTTTTGTTATTATCAGTTTTGTTGCTATGAACATTGGTGTACAGTTTTTTGCAGAAGAGTTTTCATTGCTGTTTAAGTGAAATTAGTGGGTCATGTGGTAACTATATTTTACTTTTGAGGAAAATAAATGTTTTCAAAAGTGGTTATATCATTTTTAGAAAAATAGTTTTTTAAAGATTAATTTATTTGAAAGTCAGAGTTACAGAGAGAGACAAGGAGAGGTAGAGAGAGAGAGAGTCTTCCATCTGCTGGTTCACTCTCCAGTTGGCTGCAACAGCCAGAGCTGTGCTGATCCAAAGCCAGGATCCAGGAGATTCTTCTGGGTCTCCTACATGGGTATTGAGGCCCAAGGACTCTGGCCATCATCTACTGCTTTCCCAGGCCTTAGCAGAGAGCTGGATTGGAAGTGGAGCAGCTGGGTCTCGAACCGACGCCCATATGGGATGCTGGCACTGCAGGCAGCAGTCCAGCCTGGTACACAACAGCACCAACCCCTAGAAAAATATTTTACTTATTCATTTGAAAATAAAGGAACAGAGAAAAAAGAGGAAGAAGAGAGAGTGAGAAAGAGAGAGAGATCTGTTCCATCCATTGGTTCACTCCCTAAAAGCCTGTAACAGCTGGGCTTGGGCTGGGCTAGGAGCTGGGAACTTAATCTAGGTCTCCCATGTGGGTGGCAAGGACCCAGACACTTGAGCCATCCATCACTTGCTGCCTTCCAGAATGTGCATTTGTTGTAAATTGGAATCAGGAGTGGAGCTGGAATTCAAACTCAGGCACTCCAGCTTAGGGTGCAGGTGATGTCTTAATTGCTGTGCCAAATGCCTGTCCCCAATTGCACTGAATTACATTTCCACCAGCAATGTATAAGGATTCCAGTCTCTCCACATCCTTGCTGGTGTTTGTTATCTAAGCTGTTCTTAGTATGCTCGTATGCCAATGCTTTCTGCAATCTTAGAGTGATGCTACTGTTGTATGTGTAGTCTGTATGATTTTCATACGGTAACTCAAAAAAAGAAAGTGAAAATATTCAATTGAGAAAAAAACTGGATTGTGCAGGATTATAGACTGACTTTCTGAAATATTTATTTTATCACATTAGTTCACTTGAGAATTAAGATAACACCATAAGAAAAATAAATTGAATTTTAAGTTCTCAACTTCTAAGGTTCTCAGTTTTCCTGTTGAGCATCCCATTTGCACAACTGTAGATATGACTACTCCAGGAATTACTCATCCTCTTTTTTTAAAAAAATATTTATTTATTTATTTGAAAGTCAGGGTTACACAGAGAAGGAGAGGCAGAGAGAGAGAGAGAGAGAGAGGTCTTCCATCTTCTGGTTCACTCCCTAATTGGCCACAAGGGCTGGAGCTGCACCGATCCGAAATCAGGAGCCAGGAGCTTCTTCCGGGTCTCCCACGTGGGTGCAGGGGCCCAAAGGACTTGGATCATCTTCCTCTGCTTTCCCAGGCCATAGCATAGAGCTGGATTGGAAATGGAGCAGCTGGGACTTGAACCGGCACCCATATGGGATGCCGGCACTGCAGGCAGAAGCTTTTCCTGCTACGCCAGCACCTACTCTTCCTCTTTTATACTCATTTGTAAACTGTTATTATTTCCCAAGACATTGTTTTAATCTTCAATTAAAATTATTTACCTTGAAATAGTGATTAAACTTAGTTTTTGCTACAGTTTTCATACTACTTTCGGCCTGAAGTATTAATTAGGAAGAAAAATTTGAAAAGTAGTCTGTAGTCAAGATGCTTGCTTTTTGGGTATTAGAGTGCATAGGAATCGCCTGGGGAGCTTGTTAAATGCAGATTATTATTCAACATTTTTGGGCTAAAGATTCTACATTTCTAACAAGCTCCTAGTTAATGCTGTGGCTACAGGCTTTGGGACCACACTTTGAGAAGCAAAGATAAAGACAGTATGTAGAGAAGAGCCAGTCAGCACTTAGTGCTATGTGCTGGGCTTTGTGCTAGATGCCTTTATCTTTTTTTCCCCCCAAAGAACATTATCCAGACCCCATAGCTCCTAGATCACTGGGTTTCTTCTTCCCTCCCTTCCTCCCTCCCTCTCCCTCCTCTTTCTTTTTCTTTCCCCCTCTCTCTTTCTCTTTCTCTTTCTCTTCCTCTTTCTCTTCCTCTTTCTCTTTCTCTTTCTCTCTCTCTCTCCTTCCTTCCTTCCTTCTTCCCTCCCCCCCTCCCTCCCTTCTTCCCTTCTTCCCTCCCCTTACTTTCCCTCTCTTTCTTTTTTGTTCTTTTCTTTTACCTGAAAGGCAGAGTTACAGAGAGGAGAGAGATCTTCCATCTGCTGGTTCAATCCCCAAATGGCCTCAATGGGTGGCACCAGGAACTTCTTCCAGGTCTCCCACGTGGGTGGTAGGGGCCCAAGCATATCCTCTGCTGCTTTCCAACGAGCATTAGTAGGCATCTGGATCAGAAGTAGAACAGCCAGGACTTGAACTGGCACCCATATGGGCTGCAAGCACTGCAGACAGCGGCTTAACCCACTGCACCACAGTGCTGGCCCCAGTACCTTTATCTTTATAGTAGCTCTGTAAGGTAGATATTATTTCCATTTTCTAAATTAGCTAATTTAGACCTAAAGAGGTTAGAGCACAAGTTTACACAGAAGTGAGTGAGAGAGTAGGAAGTACAATCAGTGTTTGTCTGCTTTTGTTCCTCGTCATCCTGTGACATGTTAGAAATGGAAAATTTAGAAAATGGCCAGTAAGGAAGAAAATACTTTTTGGAATTTTAGTTTTTTTAAAAAACATTATTTAGAATATTCAGAATTAGAGTATATAAGTGTTCTTATAAAATTTCTTTTAAAAAATACTAAAAGTTTGGGTCCAGCACCGGCGCAGTGGGTTAATCTTCTGCCTGTGGTGCCGGCATCCCATATGGGCACCGGTCCTAGTCCCAGCTGCTCATCTTCCAATCCAGCTCTCTGCTGAGGTCTGGGAAAGCAGTAGAAGATGGCCCAAATCCTTGGGCCCCTGCACCCAAATGGGAGACCGGAAAGAAGCACCTGGCTTCAGATCAGCACAGCTCCAGCCATTGTGGCCAACTGGGGAGTTAACCAACGGACTTAAGACCTTTCTCTCTGTCTCTCCCTCTTACTGTTTGTAACTCTACCTCTCATATATATAGATAAAATATTAAAAAATACTAAATGTTTAATGCAAGAATCAATGGTAACTGGTTTTGAATCATCTGAATCTAATCTGAATGTAATAAAAGTCTCACTGTTAGCTTTGTTAAGTGTGATTTTTTAAGGGCATTTTATAATAGCAGAAGTTAGATAATATTTGAGAACAAGAAAATGAAGAATTTCAAAATTTTTCTGTTAATTGCAGAATATTTCGTGGAAAGCAACCTCAACTGTGTTGCCTGTAAAAATATTTAAACTATCTTGTTTTTGTAGAGTCAGCGTGCCTCAGTGAACATGATGGTTGGTGACTTGAGTTTGATGTCACCTGAACTGAAAATGGGAAAACCTCCTTCTGCAAGTTCAGACCTGTATGCTTATGGCTGTCTTTTATTGTGGGTATGTTATTTGTTACTGAAGTAGGTCAGTGACATATATACATATATTTATATATATAAAGTATATATGCAATATATATTTTATTACATATGTATTTCAGTATATAAAATGAAATTTTAAAAAATTTACAAAACTATCAAAACTATGGATGTTTTGATAGATTTAACAAAAGGTGTGCAGGAGCTGTACACTAAAAACTACAAAACATTGTGACTCTACAGGGGAAGGAACTCTGTGAAATGTGGCTCTGCCTTACTGAAGGGAATGATGATAATGTCTGGGTTGGAAGAGCACAGGGAAGGCTCATTGTTCCCCAATGCGCACATATTAATTCACAAGTTAGTCTTCAGGAGAATTTGTAGACACTACGTTGATGGATATTTTAGTTCTATATTTTAATGACTTTAAGGAAAAATGAATTAGTTCACAAGCAAGTGTTTTTTTTATTATTTTTCTCTCAAAATACATTTAAAGTTAAAATGTGAATTGATTTATGAAAGCTACAGAGCATATGACTATGGCAGCAATCATGAAATTGTAAGTAATTGTAAGCAATCATAAAATTGGGAAAGCAATTTTACATGGTATTATGCTTTCAATCTGGGTGTCTTTGTGTTAATTGCTAGTATTATAGGAATTGCAGTTGGCTTTTGTGATTTATTTTGTATCCTGTAACTTTGCTGAACTCATTAGTTCTAGGTGCACTTGGTAGATTCTTTGAGATTGTCTTTGCAGACAGTTGTGTTATTTGCTGTTTTAGTTTAAATGTGGTTTGAGTGTATGTCCCCAAAGTTTCATGTGCTTGGAAGCTCAGTCCCTAGTATGGTGGCATTGAGATGGTGTAGAACTTTTAAGAGGTCGGACTTAGTGGAAGGTGATCAGGAGTGTGAAGGTACTACTCTTGAAAAGATTTTAATGTAGTTCTCACTGAACCTTGCTTATAGTGATTATATATAAGTGATTATAAAAAGAGTGAGCCCGAATCTCTCTTGTTCCTGTTTCCTCATGTGATCTCCCCATCTTGCACACCCTTCCACAGTGATGGCAGCTGCTCTGTTCTCATGCAGCCAGAAGACCCTCACTAGAGCTTAGCAGATGCCAGAGTCCTGCTCTTATTATTTCTAGAACTGTTAGTTCCATAAACCTCTTGTTTATAGAGTACCCAGCCTCCAGTACTTTGTTACAGCAACACAAAATGGACTGAGACATGTGAAAATAAAGATAATTTTATTTGCTTCTAATTTATATTGCCTCCAGTTTTTCTTTTACGTATATGACTATACTGTTTAGAACTCCCAATACTATGCTTTTTTTCATTTATTTATTTATTTATTTATTTTTCTATGTTGAATAAGATCATTGAGAATGGACATCTTTACCTTGTTCCTGATTTTATGGGTGAAACCAGTGAGGCATTCATAAATCAGTATGATATTAGCTGTAGGTTTTTTGATAGATGCCCTTTTTTTTGAATACTTCTAATTTTTACTTATTTAACTATTTTTGAAAGATGGAGAGTGGAAGGGTGGGAAATAGAAATAGATATATCTTCTATCTGCTGGTCCATTCCTCAAATACTCACAACATCCAGGGCTGGATTAAGCTGAAGCCAAGAGCCCAGAACTCAGTATGGGTCTCCTGCATGAGTGATGGGAACCCACTTGAGTCATCATCTGCTACCTTCCAGGCTGTTTGTTAACAGGAAGCTGGAATTGGAAGTGGAGCTGGCACTCTGATAGGGAATGCAGTTGTCCTGAATGTTGTCTTAACCACTGTACTAAATGCTTGCTGCCACAGATGCTCTTTACTTCACAGCAGATGAACTTTGCCTCTTTCCTGTTGCTCTGAATATTTCTTTTCATGAGTGGGTATTGAATTTTGTCGAGTGCTTTTTCTTCATTGATTGCTATGTAAATTTTCTTTCCATTATGCTGTTAATGTAGTCGATTACATTGGTTTATATTTCAAGATTGAACTAACCTTGCATTACCAGAATACACTCCATTTGGTCATGATATATGTTTCCTTTTTTAAGTTGCCAAATTTTGTTTGCTTAATTTTTGTTGAAGAGTTTTGTATCTGTATTCATAAGGGATATTAGTTGGTAGTTTTAGTTTAGTTTTTATCTGGATTTGGTACTAGGTTAATATTAAGTTCATAAAATGAAACAAGAAGTGTTTTTTTTTTTCCCCAAAAGAAATCATGTAGAATTGGTGTTAATTCTGTTTTAAACATTTGTTAGTATTTGCCAATGAAATTATCTTGGCCTTGGCATTTTGTTTTTAGAAATGTTTAAGTTGCAAATTTGATTCCCTTAGTGGTCATAGAGCTATTCAGAAGATTATTTCAGATTGGGTGAGTTGTGGCAGTTTGTTTTTCAAGGAAGAGACCAGTTTTGTCTGTGTTGCCAACTTTCTATGTGTAGAGTTGTTCTTAGTCTTGCCTTATTATCTTTTGACCTTTGAGGTTTGTTGTTATATCCTATTTCATTCCTGGTATCGTAATTTGCCTTTCTTTTTTCCTTTGCCAATCTTGCTAAAGTTTTGTCAGTTTTTCAAAGAACCAGCTCTTTGCTTCTCTGTTGTTTTTCTGTTTTCAATTTTGTTGATTTTTGCTCTTACCGTTTCCCTATATATATATATGTGTGTGTGTGTGTGTGTGTGTGTGTGTGTGTATATATATATTTAAACAGATTTTATTTATTTGAGAGGCAGAGTGACAGAGGGAGAGACTGAGAGAAAGGTCTTCCATCTACTGGTTCACTCCCAAGATGGCCGCAATGGCTGGAGCTGGGCTAGTCCAAAGCCAGGAGCCAGGATCTTCTTCTGGGTCTCCCATGTGGGTGCAAGGGGCCCAAGCACTTGGGCCATCTTCTACTGCCTTCCCAGGCCTTAACAGAGCGCTGTATCAGAAGAGGAGCAGCTAGGACTTGAACTGGCACCCATTTAGGGTTCTAGTGCCACAGGTAGAGGCTTAGCCCACTATACCACAGCGCCGGCCCCCCAAATATACTTCTTTTTTTATTATTTTTATTTTTTGACAGGCAGAGTGGACAGTGAGAGAGAGAGACAGAGAGAAAGGTCTTCCTTTGCCGTTGGTTCACCCTCCAATGGCCGCCGTGGCTAGCGCACTGCGGCCAGCACACCGTGCTGATCCGATGGCAGGAGCCAGGTACTTCTCCTGGTCTCGCATGGGGTGCAGGGCCCAAGTACTTGGGCCATCCTCCACTGCACTCCCTGGCCACAGCAGAGAGCTGGCCTGGAAGAGGAGCAACCGGGACAGAATCTGGCGCCCCGACCGGGACCAGAACCTGGTGTGCCGGCGCCGCAAGGCGGAGGATTAGCCTAGTGAGCCACGGCGCTGGCCCAAATATACTTCTTTACCTACCTCCTCCATATTTTGATGTTATTTTTAAAAGATTTATTTATTTGAAAAACTAGAGTTACACAGAGAAGGAGAGACAGAGAGAAAGGTCTTCCATCTACTGGTTCACTCCCCAAATGGCCACACGATATGAATCTGTTGAGCCAATCCGAAGGCTGGAGTCAGGAGCTTCTTCCTTTTCTCCCACATGGGTTCAGGGGCCCAAGAACTTGGACTATCCTCTGCTACTTTCCCAGGAGCATTAGCAGGGAGCTGGATTGGAAATGGATCAGCTGGGACTCGAACTGACGCCCATATGGGATTCTGGCACTGTAGGCTTTAACACACTACACCAAAGCGCCAGCCCTGATGCTTTGTATTTTAATCCTGTTCTACAAATATTTAATTCCTTTGAGACTTCTCCTTGGCCCATAGATTATTTAGAACTGTGATGTTTAATTTTCAGGTTTAGAGATTTTCTTGTTGTATATGAGAATCCTTCAAAAAGTTGTAGAAAATGGAATTAGAAGATAAGTTTATTTTGGTGCAGTAAAGTTTGGATATCTGTGCGTAGGATAGATCTTTTAAAAGTCCATGGAGGGGTCACTGCTGTGGTGCAGCGGGTTAAAGCCCTGGCCTGAAGTGCCGGCATTCCATATGGGCGCCGATTCTAGTCCTGACTGCTCCTCTTCCGATCCAGCTCTCTGCTATGGCCTGGGAAAGTAGTAGAGGATGGCCCAAGTCCTTGGGCCCCTGCACCCACGTAGTAGACCCGGAATAAGCTCCTGGCTCCTGGCTTTGGATCCACACAACTCTGGCTGTTGGCGGCCATCTGGGGAGTTTACCAGCGGTTGAAAGACCTGTCTCTACCACTCTCTGTAACTCAAATAAATAAAAATAAATTTTTTTAAAAGTCCATGGAAAGTGTGTATTAGGAAAAAAACTATGAATGGGGGCCAGTGTTGTGGTGTAGCTGGTAAAGCTGCCACCTGCGATGCTGGTTCATGTCTTGGTTGCTCCACATGTATTCCAGCTCCCTGTTAATGTGCCTGAGAAAGCACCAGAGGATGGCCCAAGTGCCTGGGCCCCTGTGCTTATGTGAGAGACCTGGAGGAGGCTCCTGGCTCCTGGCTTCTCAGACCCGATCATTGCAGCCATTTGGGGAGTAAACCAGTGGATGGAAGATCTATCTCCTCTCTCTTTAACTGTCTTTTAAATAAATAAATAAATAAATCTAAAAAAAAAAAAGAACCTATGAATGGCTTTCTAATTTGTTTTACACAAAGTAAATTTATTTTCATTTTACTTAAGAGGCAGAGAGACAGAAGAGAGACCTTCCATGCACTGGTTCACTCACCAAATGCTCACAACAGCTGGAGCTGGGCAAGGTTGAAGCCAGGGGCCTGGAACTCCATCCAGGTCTCCTACATGGTTGGCAGGGACTCAAGTACTTGAGTTCACTTACTGCCTTCCAAGGTGCCCATTGGCAGGAATCTGGAATCAAGAGCAGAGCCAAGACTGCAGCACAGGCACTCCAATATGGGATGTGGGTCTCTTAACCAGTGGCTTAACTGCTATGCTAACTTCATTCCCCAGGACTACTAAGTTCTAAACACAACTTTTTTTTATTAATTGAAAAAATATTAAAGTGTTTTTAGTGTGCACATCTACTCTGGTTGAAACTTTAAGAACCCTAGGAAGCATTTGATCACTCTTGAAAATGGTTTTACCGTACAAAGAACTCACCTGATTTCTTTAAGTGTGCTTTTCTGTAGTCAACAGAATCTGAAGAGGTCTAGATTTGACTTTTTTATAGAATCAGTAGTTTGATACTTTGGAAATTTATTTATTCTTATTTTGTTTTACAGCTTTCTGTTCAAAACCAGGAATTTGAAACAAATGAAGATGGAATCCCAAAAGTGGATCAGTTTCATTTGGTATGTAAATTTTTTTTGTTATATATTGGTTTGAAACATGCACAGTTATGCAAACTTAAGTATTTGGAAACATCTTTCAATTTTTGTAAGAATCCAAAAATAGCACTTATGATAAACAAGGTTTGGAAAAATTCAATGCCCTGCTTAGCACCATTGCCAGAATTTAACATTGCTGAGTTGTGTGTTTGTCACACTGATGATATAAATAATTAATAATTAAGGATAAATATTGTATACTGTGTATTCCAAGATTATATTAAAGTTAATGTTTTATTGCAATTTAGCTTTTTACAGTACTTAAATACTTTTTTAAAAAAGATTTATTTTTATTTATTTGAAAGGCAGAGTTAGAGAGAGAGAGGGAAAGACAGTGGTCTTCCATCTGCTGGTTCACTCCCCAATTAGTCACAATAGCGGGGCTGAGACAGCTGAAGCCAGGAGCCAGGAGCTTCATCCTTGTTTCCCATGTGGGTGCAGGTCCCAAGCACTTGGGCCATTCTCTGTTGCTTTCCCAGGCAAATTAGCAGTGAGCTGGATTGGAAGTGGAGCAGCTGCAACTCAAACTGGTGCCCATATGGGAAGCTGGCATTGCAGATGGCAGCTTAGTCTACTGTGTCTCAGCACTGGCTCCTTAAATACTTTTTTTTTTTTTTTTTTTTTTGGTGATCTATCTATGCCATTGTGCTTGCTTTGTCATTCATGTATGTGTTCAGCCAGGATTCTTTGAACATGTAGACTATACTGGGAATTGAACCAGGTGCTGGAATGGCAAGAATTGCCTCATTGAAAATTAATAATTTAGAAATGTGAACAAGTAAACAACAGAGACATATAAGTATAGTATAAGAAAGTACTTTGGGAGAAGCTTTTTAGTTCCTCAGAGAAAGTGGGAATCCGGTAAACTAAGAGGTTAAATATGATGGCGAGTCTAAATTTTATGGTCAGTCTGTAGAAGTCCTCATGCCATTTTGATAGTTTGGACTACAGTGAAGGAATATAATTTTGCTTAGTCATAGTCCCTTATTTGACCACAGAAATATTCTGTCTTATAGTGCCTACTAATATATCATGAAATTTTTAACAACACCCTTAGAAACGACTTTGCCACTCTTCTTTGATAGCAGTGAAAAGTATTCACAGCTTTTAGGAGATTATGAAAGTGTGTGTTGAGCTTCCTTAGCTATTTCTGTGGAATGGGGTGGCAAAGAAGATTGATAAAGGTTTATGCTTTCAGAAAAATCTGTGATGAAAATTTCTTGTTATTTGTCAATGACCGACAGTGAACACCTGAAGCCCCTGGCCTTTCAGGTCAGAAGACAGATTACTTTCTACTAAGTTATTCTGAAATTTCACAACTGAAAAGACATCTATTATCTTAGAGTTTTGTGAGCCAGGAGTCTGGGGCATGCTTATTTGGCTCCTCAGTTTCAGAGTTGCTCACAGGCTGCCAACCAGTGTTGGCTTGCAGTTCTCATCTTAGAGCCCAGCTGTGGACTGAGAGGCCTCCAAGCACACATATTTGTCCTTGGAGTTCAGTTTGTTTCAGTTGGGAGGCCGGGGGGCCTGAGGTCCCGTGTTCTTTTCTGGTTGTTGGCCAGAGGTAGATTCGTTCCTTTGCCATATTTCCATCATGGAGCTTGTTTCATCAGAGTGTATGAGCAGAGAATGCAGTAGAGTCTATTAGCTTGTTGTACCTGAGCGAGTGCAAACAAAGGAGCTCCACACATTGATAAAATTTGATGGTCCTTTATTGCTGGCGATGGAGAGTGGGATCATGCCCTAAAGAACTCTTGACACTGAAGCCCAAAGCAACAGGGTTGATAAAGGCAAAAACCACAAAATCAGGAGGGGAATTCATGGTTGCTAGGAACAGGGGGGAATACGTGGTTACCAGGATCAAGCTGACCTAAAACCTATGGGAAACTAGTATCAATTATAATCTTGACAATACCAGTTATAATCTTAACAATTCCAATTATAATCTTGACATTACTCTAGGTATTGATTTTAATCATATGTAGGACATAGGCAAATTACATTTTTATCATTAACCCAGGTGTAGCCTACCCACTTCCAAGCGATCATGGTAGGGGGTTTCTGTGCTCTGCCAAGTGTGATGTAGTGGACTGCTGTTGTTCAACTGTTTTAGATCATAGTTTCAGACCAGAGTCTCACGGTGGGGGGTGTGTGTGTGTGTGCTTTCCCAGAATGGAGTCTCAAGTGCTCCAAAATGGAGTCCCTACTGTCAAGGTGTTACTTCAAGCTAAACAGAAGTCAGAGTTCATCACCAGCTCCGAGATGTGGCATCCCATCACTCTGCTTCATGAGCGTGCTTTGGAAAGTTTGTGGAAAGTGGAATGAAAATATGTTTATTTTGGTGCACATAATAATGAAATCCATGCATAGCTTTTTCATAATATGTGTTTCTGTGAACTTTTGGAAGACCCCATGTTTTATCTTTGTTAGAAACAATTTTGTAGGCCCAGCCTACATTTGCAGAGAAGGGATTATAGAAGGGCTTGAGATGCTGGGCTCCCTGCTAGTTGTACGTATAATGAAGATGAATAAATACATGGTCTCTGTTGACTATGGGCTTGTGTAGTATTTGCGTCTATGATCTGAGGCAGCTATCAGTGCTGGGCATGGGATTGTCTTTCCTTACATTTTGTGCCTGCACACAAGGCACCACACTGAAGTCTGGACTTTGGAGATGGCACTCCACAGATGGAGAAGAATTCCATGAATTCATGGAATCAGGAAGTTTAAAGAGTTATTAGAGAATAATTAACTTGTCAGAAAAATTCCTCCAAAAATATCAACAGATGACATTCAGCCTCTGCTTAAGTATTTGTAAGTTGAGGGTAACCCATGTCACTGTTGTTAAATTTCATGTTTATTTTAAGGTTAATTCCTACAAAAAGATAACATGTAGATGATACAAAATTCTCAAGTTACCAAAGGAAGCATGTAAGTAATCTATGTGCACTGTCTCCCTTTTCCCAAATCCTCTCCATAGAAACACCAGCACTCCTGCTCATTTCTTGTACATCTTTCCAGGAATATCTATGTATGAATTTGTTATTTAAAAATAGATTATTATTTTAATATGTTTTTAAAAAATACATGGCATTTATTTGTGGTCTGTAAACTCAGTGAGGGCAGGGGCTATATACTGTGCCTCATTTTATCCCCTCTATCCCCTGTGCAAGGGTAGGCATAGTAAAGGGCTTAAGTATTTGTTGAATGAAGGAGCCTTGCTTCCTTATATTTTCATAGTGAACATTCTTAATTTCTTGGGCCTTTTTTTTCTCCCATTTCCTTCATGTTTTTAATTCTTCTGGAATTCACTTTTACATATGACCTGAAGTAAGGATATGATTTTATCTTTGTGTGGACTGTTAGTTAATCCAGCACCATTTATTCAGTAGTCTTATTCTCTACTGATTAATAATACCCTCTGTCCTATGCCAAATTTCCATGCACTCAGGAATCTGCTAGGGGCTCTTTCTGTGTCACAGACTTGTTTTCTGACCCATTGCCATGTTGCACTGCTGTAAATACTGTGCCTTTGTTGAAGGCTTTGGCTTTCCTTCTGGACCTTTTTCTTCAATGCTGTCTTGGCTGTTATTTTATTGTCCCTCATGAATTTTGGCACCGACTTGTTAAGTTCTCTGAAAAACACTCTTCAGACTTGGGATTATGTTGAATTTATAGGTTAATCTGAAGGATAATTGCTATCTTAATGAAAACATTATCTTTGTAGTAAGGGAAATAGTATTTCTCCACTTACCTAGGACTTGTTTTACATATTGCTGTATCACATTGAATCTAGTTATTATTATCTTTAATAACTTAGCATGTCTGAAATTGAACTGTATGCTATAGGCTGGCGCCATGGCTCAATAGGCTAATCCTCCACCTGCGGCGCCGGCACCCCGGGTTCTAGTCCCGGTCGGGGCATTGGATTCTATCCCGGTTGCTGCTCTTCCAGTCCAGCTCTCTGCTGTGGCCCAGGAGTGCAGTGGAGGATGGTCCAAGTCCTTGGGCCCTGCACCTGCATGGGAGACCAGGAGAAGCACCTGGCTCCTGGCTTCAGATCAGCGCGGTGCGCCAGCTGCAGCACGCTGGCTGCAGCGGCCATTGAGGGGTGAACCAACAGAAAAGGAAGACCTTTCTCTCTGTTTCTCTCTCTCTCCCTGTCCACTCTGCCTGTCCAAAAAAAAAAAAAAAAAGGTATGCTATAAAGATTTTTTATCATGTTTCATAATTTAATGGTATTTTCTTTAATTTTCATGTTAATATGTTATTAATACAAAAAGAACAGATTCAGTGTGGTTCCTAGACACAATTCTAAAATACACAGATGTTTTCCTTCCAGTTTGGCAGTGTTTTAATTTGCTTATTATTTTAAGGTGTTTTAAATTCAATGAAATGATTTTCAGTAAAGTTTTATAATCAGTTTTGAACAATTTTATTGAGAAATAATCTATCCTTATAATTTATCCATTTAAATTAGTTTTTAGTGTAGTCATAAATATATGCAGCCATCGCCACAGTCAATTTTAGGATATTCTCATCACCTACAAAAGGAACCTGGAAACTCTTCTGCTATCACCTCCCTTGTCTCCACCCCCTACTCTAACCCTAAGCAATTACTAGTCTGTTTTATGTGCCTGTAGATTTATCTGTCCGTTCTGCAGATTTATATGAATGGGATCATATAGTATGTCAGCTTTGATGACTTCTTTCACTTAGCATAATTTTTCAAGGTTTGCGCAAATTATAATATCAGTACTTTTTAAAGCATTTTTTAATTTTATTTTTTAGTTAGTTTTTAACAGATTGAATATGTTTTATATGGAACAATTCTAAGAAAATAATGATATTCCTTTCCTCCCTCCCTCCCCCGGCCTCCCACCTGCCTTCCTCTCCCTTTCTGTCTTTTTGTTGTTGGGATAACATATTTTAAATTTATATTACAGCAAAAAGACTTAATACTTCACAAAATAAGAAGTTTAATGAGTAAAAAGCTAAAAGACCTTAGTTTAGTGGGAATATGGACAATGGCTATAAACAGTAGCTTAATGGAAAAAATGACCATATCACCCATATATAGTAAATTTTAAAGTAATCACAGTTCATTAAAACTATAGTAGAGTAACATTCTTAACCATTGATTTGACAAAGTATAAAACAAGTTTTACAAAACTATATTTGCAGCAGTACTGATACACAGACGGCTTTTTTTTTTTTTTTTTTTTTTTTTGTTGTTGTTTCTTAAATTTTAGTTTCCACATACAAGGGAGCACGTGCAGTATTTGTCTTTCTCTGTCTGGCTTATTTTATTCAACATGATGTCCTCTAGTTATGTCCAATTTACTGCAAATGGTAGAATTTCTTTTTTATAGCTGAAAAGTATTCCATTGTATATGTATACCACATTATCTTTATCCATTCATCTGATCATGAACACCTTGGTTGGTTCCAAATTTTGGCTATTTTGAACAGTGCAGTTATAAATATGGTAGTGCAGGTATCTTTTTGATAGTGTTGGAGTCTTTTCCCTATATACCCAGTAGTGGTATTACTAAATCATATGACAAATCTATTTCTAATGTTTTAAGATATTTCCACATTGTTTTCCACGGTGGCTGAACTAATTTACATTCTCACCAACAGTGTATTACTGGTCCCCTTTCTCCACATCCTCTCCAGCATCCTCTGTATGTTTTGGAATTTAGGCATTCTGATAGAGGTGAGGTGATATCTCATTGTAGTGTTCATTTGCATTTCCTTGATAGCTAGTAATGTTGAGTGTTTTTCCATATATTTGTTGGCCATTTGTATTTCTTCTTCTTCTTCTTCTTTTTTTTTTTTTTTTTTTTTTAGGTTTATTTGGTTGGTTGAAAGGCAAAGTTGCAGAGATAGATAAGGAGACACAAAGATCATCCATCTGATGATGGTTCACTCCCAAATGGCTGCGATGACCAGGGCTGGGGCCAGACCAAGGCTAGGAGCCAGGAACTTCCTCCAGGTCTCCCACGTGGATGCAGGGACAAAAGGACTTGAGCCATCCTCTGCTGCCTTACCAAGCGCATTAGCAGGGAGCTGGATCAGAAGTGGAGCAGTCAGGACTCGAACCAGAGCCCATATGGGATGCTGGTGCTGCAGGCCATGTCTTTAACATGCTGTGCCACGGTGCCAGCCCCTGTATTTCTTCTTTTGAGAACTATCAGCGAAAGAGTCTGAATTTGAGATAATTCCATTTGTTTAGTTTTGTTTTTATTGCCTGTGTTTTGGGGGCCTTGTTCAAAAAGTATTCCCATACACCAATGTCTTGGAGTGTTTTCCCTAGATTTTCTTCCAGCAACTTCATAGTCCCTGGTTTTAAATTTTTGTCTTAGATCCATCTTGAGTTGATTTTTATGTGTGGTGAGAGATATAGATCTAATGTCATTCTTCTACACACTCACACACACACACATAAATGGAATAGATCTCTCTTTCTCTCTCTCTCTATATATATATTCTCATCCTCATGTTATATGTGTATATGTATATGTATATATATAGTGGTGTCATGTGTTTTCATATTTACTTCTAGTGCAGGATACCCTTCAGAATTTTTTTTTTTTTTGACAGGCAGAGTGGACAGTGAGAGAGAGAGAGAGAAAGGTCTTCCTTTGCCGTTGGTTCACCCTCCAATGGCCGCCATGGCTGGCGCGCTGCGGCCGGCGCACCGTGCTGATCCAATGGCAGGAGCCAGGTACTTATCCTGGTCTCCCATGGGGTGCAGGGCCCAAGCACTTGGGCCATCCTCCACTGCACTCCCGGGCCACAGCAGAGAGCTGGCCTGGAAGAGGGGCAACCGGGACAGACTCTGGCACCCCGACCGGGACTAGAACCCAGGGTGCCGGCGCCGCAAGGCGGAGGATTAGCCTAGTGAGCTGCGGCGCTGGCCCAGAATTTCTTTTAAGCTTGGTCTGCTGGTTGTGAATTCTCTCAGTTTTGATATATAATCCATTTTGCCAGCACTATGTGTTGAAGCGATTATCCTTACTCCACGGTATGGTCTGAGAACATTTGTCAAAAATCAGTTAGCTTTATGTATGTGGATTAATTTCTGGGCTGTCTGTTCTGTTCCACTGCTCTGTGTATTAGTTTTTTATGCCAGTACCATGATGTTTTAATTACCATAGCTTTGTAATATGCCAACCTAAGTCTTTTGGTTGTAGAACTTAATCTATTTACTTTCAAGGTTAGTATTGATAGACAGGGACTAAGACCTGTCATTTTGTTGGTTGGGTAATGGTTCCGCCTGCTCTGTTAGTGAATTTGGTGGTGTCATGTGTTTTCATATTTACTTCTAGTGCAGGACGCCCTTCAGAATTTCTTTTAAGCTTGGTCTGGTGGTTGTGAATTCTCTCAGTTTTTGGTTATCTGGAAAATACTTTATTTCTCCTTCAGTTTTAAAGGATAGCTTTGCTGGTTGGAAGTTTTTCTTTTAATACCTTGACTATATCATCCCATTTTCTTCTGGTCTGTAGGGTTTCTGCTGAGAAGTCTGATGTTAATCTAATTGGTTTTCCTTCATATGTAATTTAGCGTTTTCTCTGTCTTTAGGATTCTCTCCTTTAGACAGCATCTTATGGTGTTAGCCCCCAGAAGCTAAGGTGAATGTGAGCATAGCTCTGGGGCTAATGCCCAAAACCCTCCACAGTTGTGGGATGCAGGGGATCTGTCCTTTGCACCACGTACTGCCCTGACTCTGACTCTGACTCTGACACTGGTAGGAGTGGGACAGCGAGGCACTGCCAGACTTTGCAGCCGAGTATTGCGCTCTGTGGGAGTTGGGGAGGAGGAGGAAGAAATGACGCTTCCCTGCTGCAAGTCCAGCTGTTGCTCAGACCCCAGTCAGCTCCCTAGGCTCAAGTAAAAGTCAGTGGATGACTTTTTTAGCTCAGACTTCCCTCTGAGCTAAAACTGCAAGTTGTGGGGTGTGAGGCAGTTTCTTCCTACCTTGATATGGTAAGATGGTGGCTGGCAGCTGCTGCATCCGCCTTCTCTCCTCTTGTCCAGTGGAGTCTTGGTTGTGCTTTCACTTATTTGCCAGAAATTTCTGTCAGTCAGACTCCGGAAACGTCCATCTAGCGTGGCTGTACCCTGTTCAGCCACTTTGGATCCTCCATGTACAGTATCAGTACTTTTTTTTTTTTTTAATTTCTCAACAATACTGTGTTGAACAGATATACTACATTTTATTTATTGTTTGTTGATGGACATTTGAGTTGTTTCTACCTTTTGCCTATTATGAATAATGCAGCTCTAAACATGTGCATACAAGTTTTTGTCTGGACATATGTTTTCATATCCGTGGGAGTGGAATGACTGGATCACGTGGTAACTCTGCATTTAGATGTTTCAAGAACTGCTGGGCTGTTTTCCAAAGGAGTGACACCATTTTAAATTTCCAACAGCAGTGTGTCAGGGTGCCAGTTTCTCCTCATCCTAGCCAACACTTGCTGTCTGACTTTGTGATTCTAGCTGTCTTGTGAGTGTGAAATAGTGCCTCAGTATGTTTTGATTTGCATTTTCCTGGTAACCCATGATGTTGAGCATCCTTTTATGTGTTTATTAGGCATTTGTTTATCTTCCTTGGAAAATTGCCATACAGAGCTTTATTTATTTATTTATTCAGGTATTCTGGTGTTTATTTATTTTTATTTATTTTTTGACAGGCAGAGTTAGACAGAGAGAGACAGAGAGAAAGGTCTTCCTTCCGTTGGCTCACCCCTGAAATGGCCACTACGGCTGGCGCACTGTGCCGATCCAAGCCAGGAGCCAGGTGCTTCTTCCTGGTCTCCCATGTGGGTACAGGGCCCAAGGACCTGGGCCATCCTCCACTGCACTCCTGGGCCACAGCAGAGAGCTGGACTGGAAGAGGAGCGACTGGGACAGAATCCGGCACCCCAACCGGGACTAGAACCCGGGGTACCGGCACCGCAGGCGGAGGATTAGCCAAGTGAGCCGCAGCGTCGGCCCTGGTGTTTATTTTTATAAATATGTTTATAGTTATATAATTTTGGAGCAATATTTATTCATTAAAGAAAGCAGAGATACTACAGATAAGTGGAAACAAAAATTTTAAAGCCACACCAGCCAATTACAATAGGTGATGTTTTCATCCTTTACCCATTATTTTTTTATATTGTTGTTTTTACTTACTTGACACTTTGACCATTAATTTTTTAAAAGATATTTTGTTTGAGGGACAGACAGAAATTGTGACAAAGGTAATTAATACGAGATGTTAATAGGGGAAGCAGGGTGAGGAGTATAAAGGAAATCTTTGTATTACTATCTTTGTATTTTTGTTTTGTAACTTTGTTCTGACATAACATGTTAAAAAATAATGGGAGAAAGCATGCATGTTTTCCCTTAGGCAGGCTCATTCCCTAAACGCCTGCGATGTTGGGACTGGGCCAGGGCTGAAGCTGGGAGCCAGGGATTCCAATCCAGGTCTCCCATGTGGGTGGCATGAACCCCATTGCTAGGGTCTGAATTATCAGGAAGCTGGAATCAGGAGCTGGAGGCCAGCATTGAACCCATGTGGGCTAGCTCAGATGTCTGCCACCCTTTGCCAATTTTTAAATCAGGTTATTGTCTTTTCATTATTGAGTTGTTGAAAGTTTCTTACTTGAATTTTCTTACTTGATTTGCAAATATATTCTCTATATCTATGGGTGGTATTTTCACTTTCTTTATGATGTTTTTTGAAGCACAAAAGTTTCTAATTTTTACAAAAGCCATTGTTTCCTTTGTTGCTTATGCTTTCAGTGCCAAATCTAAGAGTCCTTTGCCAAATCTAAAGTCACTAAAATTTTTCTCTGTTTCTTCTTAGAGTTTCAGGATTTTAGATTTTTACATGTAGATCTTTGATATATTTCAAGTTTAATTTTGAATATTGAAGTGTAAAGTTACAGCTTCCTTGTTTTGCATGTGACTGTTCATTTGCTCTGGCATCATTTATTAAGAAGACTGTTTCTTTCTCCATTGAATGGTCTTTACACCCGTGTCAACATCAGTTGACCGTAAATGTATTGATTTGTTTCTAAACTTTCAAGTCTATTGCATTGATCTACAGATGCTTGTAGACTTACAGTGGGATGAAATCCAGATAAATCCATTATAAGAAGAAATAGAGTAAGTTCAAAACTAATGAATACACTGGATGCACAGAACTGCATAGCTTAGCACACAGTGAACTGTGGAGTATTGGTTAGTTACCCTT